AAGTTGTTATATATTATATCATTCGTCAGTAAATTGTGACGCGGCAGCTACATTGATATTCGTAGCACTTTCTACGAAACAAAATTATGAAGTATACTATACATATGTATATACTGTAACCTATGTGCAGTTATACTATTAGTTGATTTTAACTTTATACTATAGATACGGGTCTAAGAAATCAATTAATTTTGCGAACACATCCGATGTAAAATAAAGTTATTGTTATTCTATAGCTGTAAAGCGTTTAAAGTTACCTACTTAGAAAGCAGTGTCTACTGTAGAATATACTAATTAATAATAAGTAATTAAGTGTTTTATTATAATATTATGACGATAGAATGCACGAAAAGACATTAGTGAGATTAATAAACAGTAAACCCTTTCTGTCACTGACAAGAAACGGATGAATATATTTTCCTCTATTATTTTTTATTATCCCTGCATGTACTAAGAGCATTTACTACTGAAGTGCACGAACATCTGTATTATTTGACATGTATATTATATCTAAACGCTTCATATTTCACTATCAAAACCATACTTATTTAATGAAAAGATTATTACATAATTCATGGTCTATTTAATTTTAAGTTGGTATTCAGATATTGTGTGGTTAGTATTCCGTAGTGAATGCTCTTAAACATGACATTGTTAATGCATTTCAACGGACGCCATTCATTTAGACGGAATTTCTTTTTCATTCATTCATTTTTATTACGTGCAGTATACACATATAGTATACATTAAGATGAGTATTTAGTTTTATAATCGTCGAAAATATATCCTTTATGTAAACTTGTTTACCACGGCTCTTGTTCTGTAAGACGTGTAGAATATTTCTTTATATATATAATATTTATTTTTTATTTACGTAATAACAAAAGTATGTATGTGCCTTGATAAATCAGTTAGTCTGGACAGACCTTATGATAGAGATTAATCTACCTGCTAATATGGTTATCTATGTGGACGGCGTCCATTTGAATGTATAGTTAATGCCAAGTTTTAGCTAAATAGCATATATAATAAGTGTCTATACATATTCTATGTAGAATTTGTAACCAGATTGTTCTAAGAACTATCCTTATATACGTAGGTATTCTCTAACTAAAGCTACGGCTACGACACATAGGTTAACGATTAATAATGAATATAAACAAGGACACCATAATTATATCCTTTTGTTTATTTGACAATTTTAATGTGTTTTGATCCTCAAGATATATAACTAGAAATAAACGTGGTAATTACCTAAATTCATACTTGTGTTATGCCCCAATTTGATTGATTTTTCCCCGTAGAATGCTTAAAGAATCACTAAAATATTTGTACCTACATCAAACCGATAGACCGACCGATATACAGAACAGAGACTATGAGTAGAGAGTATTACCTACTTATATAAATAATTATTTAATTATAAATTAGTTTTAAGAAGTTTTTCTTAATTGGAGAAACTATATAGTTCATCCGCCTGCGCTAAAACTTTACGCTGGCAAAGCTTTAAAACGAATATTACATTCAAGAGTATCTTATTAATACCTTGATTAAATACGACGACTGCTGATATATATTTAGGAAAATTAAATAATCTGTATACAGTGTTTTGTAATATTATGGTTTAAATAGTACAAGGAGAAACCTAGTTCTATCTAAATTAGAACTACGAAATTATACGTTATATTCCCACTTTACAGCGTCAAAAATTATTGTCCCGAAAATTTTCAACGGCGTTGTCTTAGCAAAGGTTTATATCAGCTACTTAAAACAAAACCCCTTCTTAAACGGCTTCATTCTATATACAATAATCTATTGGTTTGTATCACTCGTGTACTAACATTTTTGTATGAATTATTTTGAATGTTGAACACTAACACAAATGTAAACTGTCTATATCAGTAGTGGTGGTACTTACATAATCCAAATACCTACATAGTGAAAATAATAAATTAATCATTGGCGATGACAACTATACTATTATCATAATACTTTAACGGATAATCCCATCTCATTTTATCTTTAGAATATATTGTCACCAAATTGCCAATTATATTTTAAAACTGCAACACCGCAATGTCTGGGTTTCAGCGGACCACAGACAAAACGACGGTTAACTTGAGATTTAAAATTAGCTAACGATCGCATACCCAATAAATAAATAACTAACTAGGAATCTCCTATTTTAATTACACAACCAAGATCCTCATCTCACTAAACGCCGTAAACAATAAAGTACATATATTTACAGTACAATCTGTCATTTTCGGTTGAGTTCTAATATCATTATAACGTGGTTTCTTTCTTTACCTATTAAAATCACGGCTGTCCTAAATACTTTAAGGAGAATATTGTAATGCTGATATTAATAGTGTTAATAAAATATATTTACTTATAACTACAAGTGTTAGCTAGAATTAAAATAGCTTATTTTAATTATATCTTTTATAAAGCAATTAAGTAGGTCATAAAATAATTATCTATGTACTTACATGTATGTATTAATTGTATTATTTTTTAATAAACTCCGTCATATTATACATATATTAACTATTAACTATTGTTAGGAAAACACATTGTCGTAGTGAGTACCTACCTATTTATGCTAGAGATAAAATACCAAATGTCGTGTATCGAAATTATTTTAATCGTGCAAATCAGATTATAAAATTATTTACCTAAGTACAATACTGTTTGTTAAATATAATTATAAATAAAATGTATGTAAGTAAATATATATAAAAGTGGCTAGTTTTCGCACAGAGGAGCGCCTCGCGCACTGTAATCACCAAGTTCGGAATGCTGACTCTAGAATTATAATATTATAATTCAATTAATCGCAACATTAATATTTTGTACTTAGTTAAATTTACATAGTTAATTATCATAACGAACACCCACACGCATCGCCTTTGTATATAAAAAGAGTCTGCGATGACCGCCCGTTCATGTTTATATTGTGGCATTGTAAATAATTTTATTATAAAATCTATTAATTACAATTTTCATCAAATTAAACACAAATTCGACTTATTTTATGTTTTATTTAATAACCCTACTAATACCTTCTATAACATGGAAATATTAGGAAAACATTGATTTGAACTCAAATAATTTGGACAATAATTATTGCAAAATTTATAATGCCTACTGAATGTGAAAAATTAGTATATTGAGACTGCAGGCGAAATAAGCGATAGATTTGAATCATTTTGATACAGAGTATGGTAGTGTCTGTCATTAGTTATAGATATATATCATAGAGTAATCACTTCACCATAGTAGCGGTTTTCTGAAAAGATTGTTTGTAAAAGTTGGGTATTAATTATAAAAATATTACTATAGGTATATACATTAGCAAGTATTTTAACGCAGGAGATAGAATATAAATGAATTTCATTTAATTTCATTTCTTTCAAGTCAAGTTGCTTAGTGAGATTCGAAAAGCTTATGGCTTAAGTTCTTTCTTGTTTATGCAACTCTAATCTTGTAAAACACGCAATAGACATTTAGCTGCTGTCTATTCTAAGTGAGTAGACTGTGACAGCAGTACAGTACTAAATGGACGCAACAGTAAATAATCTCAAAAAAATATTTCAAAATTTTAAATAAGTATATTCTTAGCAAGTATATGGGCAGCGTCGAGAGATAGAACTGTCTGTCAGACTCTCTGTCTGTCAGTCTGTCGGGTGCAGGAATTCAGAGAAATCAGCAATTATTTTTTACTTTACTCTGGCTGTATTATTTAAAACTAAAACCTTGCCAAATTCCAATCTGACAGTATTAATAATTTCCATTTCTCCTAGAACCCTAAAAACTATTTACTAGTACTATTAGTAGTTTTTACGCAAGAACTACTGAACTGATTTTGATGAAACTTTACAGTAATATAGCTTACATCTATATATATAAATTTTAATATATAGTATAGCCTATATGTTATATATATATATATATATATATATATATATATAATATTATATATTAAAATTTAATGCGGGTGAAACCGCGGACACAGCTAGTAAGATATATATGGTCATATACAGAGATGACACGAAAACAGGTGTGTTGTTATGGTAACGTCAACACCAAACCAAACGTGAACTATGTGACCAGATAATGAAGTTTTTTGCCATATTGGCATAATTGAAGCCTCACTGTAACTCATTAATATCGTATGACATTTTTTATTAATGTATTATATTTATTTATATATATACGTAAATAAACTAAAATTACAATCAGAAGTAAACAATTTAAATCTTCTCTGAAAATACAGTAAAAAGTTGGACCCTTCATCTTGCACGTAATATGTACCAACATATATGTACCTATAAAAAAAATAGGTGTCACATCTTATCCCATCACCTACATCTGCATAACTATGTATGTAGATACGTATACTACGCTATATGCATATAAATTATGTTAGTCTTTGAGGTATTTATAATGTGGACTATTAGTAGCCTGAAATAAATAATTCAATAAAAAAAATAAGTACAAGTATATAAACCTACAAAGTTTTTCATTATTCTGAGTACAGCAATTATAGCTTACAGACTTAAATAAAAATACCTACTACAATTAACAATTGTAGAAGTATTTTAGTAAAAAGATGTATTTTTACTAAAAGACAATTCTATATATTATATTCAAATAAATACATATTTAAATTTCTGAGGATATTGTTATATAGGCCTTGGTTAATCAGTTGCGAATGACGACATCGATCCATTATTGCCACTAGTAATTTAAACTAACTGTAATCCCGACAAGTTTCATTACCGACATACATTTGAAAAAAATAACAATATTATATATACATATTCTTTCATGCAACAAAAGTGAAAGATTTAACATTACTGTAGTAGTATGTTTGTTACAGAACAGAGAAAACTGTTTCTGGTACACCAGTGTATCAACGTAGCAGTTACTCATACGACGGGTTTGGGCTATTTTAAAACCATACTCTGGCAATTCGGTTACTTGTCAATTTTGACAATTTCATCGAAATTCTAATGCAGTTTTAGAAAACGTTTCACTATAATAGTAAATGTATTTCAATTTAAACGCAAATATTTGTTAATTTGTCTGTAATCACAGGAAAAGTTATAAATTATTTACCTGGATAAATAATGTCGACCACGATTCCACAGGATGTCGAAGCTATAGTGTGAACTGATATGCAGTTAATAATGAAGTACTATGTATTTTCACAGCAATTAGGTAAAAATAATGAAAACAGTGTTAACAGTTTAACAAAATCATCTAGTACAGAATTATAGAAAAACAATAAATTGTTTAATAACAATATTAATTCGTTTATAACTTGAGATTATATGTAGATACTAACCATGATTGTTTTCAATCTTTGGTCGGTATTGCAGTGGTATTTGAGACCCATTATTAAATGGTTCCTTAGAAAAACAACTCGGTTATGCGAGTTACAAAGAATATGTTACGGCGAGAAAGCTGGAGCTTCAAGAACTTGCAAAGTTGAAACATCATTGATGTTGTCTCGTACAAAAGACATAAAAGAGGTTGTTTCACATTTAGATGCAACAGTTTTAGACCATACATTTGTCATAGAAAATTTTCGCGACATTGTCGACCCAGCAGTTGGTATTATTATACGATCTAAACAAATAAAAGCTAAATTACATGGATCATTCATTGTATCAATCCGAAGGTGTTTAGAACAGATTTGGAGTTACAGGAGTTTAATGAATAAGGTAGAGCAGCTACGCAAAATTCAATTTGACAGCAATGATTTGAAACATGAGGAGAAGCTTTTAAAATTATGGTCATTGTTAGTACCAAATGAAGCTTTAGAGAACCGAGTCTCAAAACAATGGCAGTCCATTGGTTTTCAGGTAAAAAAACTTCATATCTTAGTTTAGACAGGTCTCTCAGTGTACAAATATTTAAATCTCATGCCCACAAAGCTGTGTGTACTTAATGCAATTAACTTATCAGGTATATATGTATAAGTCACATATCTATACTAAAGTAAACCATCACTTTGATAAAGAAACCAATTATTATGATAATTTGTTTTTAGACAATGCATAATAGATGTATATTAACTGATTTTTTATGTTAAAAATGTTTCTTTTCAAATTCAATTCAGTATTTAATATAATTTGCAATATTCAACTGTCAATATATCTTATATGTTTCCTATTTAAATATCAATAAATAGTAGCTGATAACTCAATGCTATAATTTGGTTTGATTTCAGGGTGATGATCCAAAGACTGATTTTCGTGGCATGGGATTACTTGGACTTGAAAATTTATTATTCTTCGCTACTGAATACTCACAGGCTTCTAGTCATGTGTTGAGCCACTCCCATCACCCTAAATATGGATACACATTTGCTATTGTAGGCATCAATATCACATCAATGGCATACCATCTACTGAAAGATGGATCTGCTAAGACTTACATGTTCAATGTCAAGAGATATTTACCCGATATTAATTTGTTTCATAGATTTTACTGTTATCTTTTCTATGAATTTGATAAAATGTGGATAGAATCAAAACCTCAAAATATAATGGAATTTTCAGTTATATTCAAAAAATTTGAGAATGCAGTGAGAACACAACTAGCAGATCCAGCCTCTGTTTTCAGAATAAACATTGAGGTTGATACAGTGTAATAGTTTAATAATTATTTAAAGTCATTTCAGTTTGGATTGTATGAAGTTCATATTTATAGACCTTGTTGTAATACACTTAGCTTTTTGTAACAATTTGACACATACATACATGGTAAGAAAAATATTTCTTGTCAGTTAAAAGTTTATGAATTATTATATTGTTACTTGAGTTAGTTGGTGTTTTATAGGTAAATTAGCTATGCCATTTATGAAATATTTAAATATACCTATGTACCTTGACTGGATTACAAAATCATTATCACATCATAATCATAGTCAACCATTTTGTGAAATAGTGCATGTCTTAGAATTGATTAACCTATTTTATTTGTCTTGGCCAAATTAATGACCAGAGATCATTTTGCTATATGAACAACTAAAATAAAAATAATTGATACAATGATACATAGGTACGAATTTTCAAATATTAAGGTTCTACATGTATGACAACATAACACGTCATAGTTTTATTATTCACCATCTCCGTAGTGGTGCATTGTTTACCTACATTTTTACTTCTATGTACATCATAATGGAATTGGTTAAATTGCCTTGAAAGAAAAATTAATAAGGTAATAAATATCAGTATTACACAAAATGCTTGACTACATTTTGAAATAAGTATGATGAACTCTATGAACTATCCATGACATACAAAGGTTAAAACTCACTTAATTTAGTGTAAATTCATTTAAAAAAGACTGCACTAAGTTATAAACTAAATTATATTAATTGTTGTGTATATAAAACTTCACAAAACTACACCTTGCTGATATAAAAGTTAGTCGTATTGTTTCTATGCATCTCACTTTGCACATGCACATGAATTCAGGCTCATACAAATCACGTGACGATCTTTTTAACAGAGTATGTAGAACTAGCTAGTTTCTCTGTGTGTATTACTTTTTCAAATAGATATATGCACTATATATTTCGTCGCTTTTTCTCCTCTATATTGTAGTGATAGAAACATATAGATTGGAATAGTCAAGCATACCTTGGAACAAAAATACCTGTAGGTATTATAATAAAGGAAAGAAATAACACATATTTTCAGGAAACATAATTTTTAGACAGTAAACATCCATCAATGTTTGTGATTTTTGATTGATTAACCTTTCGAATGTTTGTCATCTGACGCAGCGACCGGAAGTGAAGATGCGGTATGCGCGCGCCAGCTATATTTTTTCAAATGCGTTTTTCAAAAGAAGTCACGGTTTTGCGGTCATAGATGTGACGGTAGAGAGGAGAAGAGGGGTGCACAGATCTGTGTCAAAATTAAAGGTTAAATACTGTTTAGGCAGCAATATGAAAAAAAATGTTTAAGTAATATTTGCTACTAGTTCTCCATGACACTGTTTTTTCGTGTATCCCGCGATAATTTACAAATTAATATCGCTTTATACTTGGTATACGTACTTTGCAGAACGTTTCCAGGAAAATTTAATTTATAGAAGTTTATAGAGCTATTACAATAATTACAATATTCTGAACACATTTCGGAGGTATATATATGCCACTGACTGTAACGGTACATATACCAAAAGCCAAAAGAGCAAGCCCTATATATATATATTGATACCTACATTGCAATTGTTAGAATTTTTTAAAAATTCTGTGTCTTCTGAAGTTGATCTACGCACATATATTACAGAATGACTTCATAAGAATTGAAAGATTTCGGTAATTCTTTTTACACTTTATTGGTGTATGACCACGTTGTGCTCATTTAGGTACTTTTAAAAAAAATAGATATGAATTTTAATCATTTATTTCTTGGCTGTGGCATTTTTTTCTACAAATACATTTATGATATAAAAATTCTGCAGTTTTATTACGGCTTTACCTACAAGTTTCCCTGTTTTATAAATAACACTATATAGTATATACTAATTTAAAGTACATTAACAAAATAGTTATCTACTCAATATAACAAACTTACTATGGAATACATATCGAAGTAGTAATAAATAGACAGTAATGATAAAAAATATTTATTTTAAATATAAATATAGATATACGTATCCTGTTTAGTAATAATTTATATAAATCTAGGACGGAATTCCTTAATCACTCGAACTACTGATACTTAGACAACCATAAATATAGTACACGGCTTAGCTAAATTAGTAGAAACTTGTATATTCGTAAAATAATATTCTTATGACTGAACTAAAATTAAATGATTATATTGAGACGCCATGCACGGTATTGTATTTAACAACCCTGAAAACTTCGGGAGTCCTTGAAACTTAATAGTTTCAAGGACTCCCGAAGTTTTCAGGGAGTTTTAATTAACTTAGTATATCATGTTTCACGGTAATCCGTGAAACATGATATACTAAGTTAATTAAATTCCTGTATAAAAATATTAAATTTACAAATATATTTCATAACCAGGTCACCAAAGACAATAAAAAAAATTGTTTACTACCGACTGAATACAGTTACTATCCTAATGCCCTATTTCGGTCAGACACCAGCCCATATTTACTACATCTGTGAGATGTAATCAATGTACCAAAAAATGGGAAAAATTTATTCATTTGCCTCAGTAATAAACGAACAGTTTATGTATATATTATAATCTATCAATTATCCCAACACACTGTTACGCCGTGCCTGCAGTTAAATACCTTGTACCTACTTACTAATAGAAACCGCGTATATAATTTATTAATACGTTCACAATAGTACTGTCTGACTTTTTCACATTTTGTTCATAAGTTTAATATATAAACATTGTTCAATAAATTCATAAGAATACTACTAAAGGGTGCAGATACTGTATTGTAGAAGCCATATTGACCATTACGCATTTAAAAAAAAAGAACGTATTCGGATGTTACGTAAATACAAGAGTATTATATTTGGTGGCATCAATCTAGGTGGACAGTAAGATCAGAGGCATAATTACGTATCAATTTTTGATTGTAATAAATTAAAATGGATTAGTTTTTTCTACGACTCATGTGAGCGTGCTAGCTGCAAGCTATTATACAGTTCGTATTTGCAACTGCAAAATAGTTCGTACTTATTTAATCGCATAATTGTAGGTACATTTTAATACGTTTCAGATGAAAGTTATTAGTAACAGCGTTAAATATTTGAGGTATAAGGAGGTGGGTGAATACATGATACTTTTAGTTTCTCATTATTTACCTAACTACTCACCACCTACAATTAAGACTGCATTTACAAAAAAGTGTCATTACAAATATCAAAGTTACATGCACGTACGTATATTGTTTTAATTTACATAACCTGACTAATAAACCCTAATTAATTATAAGATTTTCTGCATTGTATACAGGTTGTTGGTGCTAGACAGATGAATAATTTAATATGTAAAAGATTTCGATAATTTCTTATTGTCGAATCTACATGTTCTTGGCACATTTACGTATAAGTAAACAATGCATTATATTCAATTGTAAGAATCACTTAAAAACAACGCGAATAAAGCAGTAATTGTCGCCGTATTTTATTATACTTCACTCTCTAGACTTATAGAGAAAAATGTGGCACAATAATGAAGCTTAACTAAAAGTAATAAAACTCAAGGAGGACCAACTAGAATGTTAAAATCTGACATACTTTAGGAATGACATCATAACTAACATTGAATTAACGAGGAGTACATATTTAATATTTATATCTGTACAGTACCAACAACTTAAATTTATAGGTATATAGACAAACAAATCTTCGTATTTTATCTTTTCAAATAAAAAAATGAAAAATATGTAATAAAAATTGCTTTTTGATTATTAATCCTATAGTTCTTGAATGATTTATAATTTATGTTTTGTCTCTTAGGAACCATAAAATATAATAACTTAAAAGTTAATCAAAGTAAACTTCCTTCGAAATAATAAATGCAAATAGACTTACTAATAGAGAGAATCCGCGAGGTCCAAAATTATACATTATAACAACCAAAACAAAAAAATATTTAAGGACTTACATTTTTACCTAAATATTATGAATATATCTTTATTTGTACGATAAGTATAAAATCTGAATTCCATTTATTGTACTAACCATTAAAAAAGTAAAATTATTTGTACATATAAAAATATATAACATATGTATTTATTAAATCTATTTATGGATATCAGTTATATAAGTACTAACATATATGTAAATGCCGACGTTTTCATTATCCAAATAATGTTAGTAACTCGACATTAACATTATTAATTTTAATTTACTAATAACTATTGTATTCCATTTGGATAAAATTGTAATATTATTCTATGAAAATGCTTCATTTGCTATTATGCATTTTCATAGAATTATATACCTAATATAACAGTAGTAAACATATAAAAAAAAGAAAAGTTGTATAGATAATAAAATATCTTAAGAGCTTCTCTAGAACCTGTATCTTGACACCTAATTCGACACTAACATATTTTTTGCCGGTTGGGAAGATCATAATATTTATTATGCATACATACATAATTTTATTCCAATAAATATTCCTTATAATGAAATTATTAAAGTATATATAAAATATTATATAAACATAATAAACAAACAGATAGTTTTATAATTTGAGGAATCTTCTTATTTGCTCTTCTTTTCTTTCTTAGTATTTTTAACTTTAGGTTTCGATTTCCCAGCCTTCACTAATGCTATCAATGCTGTCAATGCTACTAGTCCGAACCCAGCAACACCTATTTGCCAAATCCATGGATATTCCGCCAGGATATGTAAAGTATATGCTACTATTTCTTTAATTGTAACAACACTCCAATCCACCAATTCATCACTGTAAATAAATATCATTTTTAAAATATCATAATAAACAATTAAAGGCTATTATTGTTTAATAGTTAATGTGTACTTTTATCGAAAATGATAAAATTATTTGTAATTAATCTAAAATATAACTGGCATAAATTTTGACTTTGTAAGAAATTTTGTATGCATCAAAAAATGAAATTTTTAGCAATAATTTCAACAGATTTCAATAATTTCAAGAAAATGAAAGAAAAGTTTGATGTGCATAAGAGAAAAATATGTGCTTTTAGAAAAAGATTTAATTTTTAATTTTGATAAGCATCATCATACTCACAATGGTGATGCAAGTAAAGGCACAGTTTCCGATCTACTATTCTTATACCAGTCTTGTGCAAAAGTAACAAAAGATTTTATATCACTCTTTGGCAACTCATATCTGTACACTTTACCTAAGCGGAAGCTGAAATAAAAAACATTTTAATAAATTAACAATACTTCAACACCAGTCTGAAAAATTCTCTGAACTGAATTATTTAATCTAATAAAAAACTAATACCTATAATATAAATCTTAAATTATTGTTAAACTAGCAAACATTAATTCAGCATTATAGTAAAGTATTTTGCAAATATAAAATAGATTAAGTATTGTAATACTTAATCTATTTTATATTTGCAATATATAATATAAAAAAAACTTGTTTCTAACAAATTATTTAAATATACTTTTTTTTTAGAAATTAAATAATTTAAATAATAGGGTAGAGAGGATAGTGAATAAATTATTTTGAATGAGTTTTAATATTATTTTAAATAATCACATCACTGATTATAGTTTATATAGAACAGTTTATACTAAGTACAGAATTGACAAACAGTCCAAAGACTAACCACTCCAAATTAGGTTCACTAGAGAACTTGAAATCCCAATTATATTATAAATTATTTGTATCTATAAAATTATAATATAATACTTACAAAAGGAATGACGGTAATTTAATAATTTGAAAACGCTTAGCTGTTACAACTCCAGCAAGATTTGCATCTATTCGCGCCACATTTATGCGGCCACGTAATGTTGCACCAACACCTTCCCATACAGCATGCAACCTCTGACATTCAACACATGAGGCGCCATAGCTAATCATAATTTAAAAATATATTAAATTTATTTTATTTCATCTTCCAACTGGAACCTAGTTTACAAAGCAAATTGCAGGGAACAGAATATTTAACAAATTTGTAAAATATTGTAAAAAAATCACATCATTATTTACCGCTAGATGACCTAACAGTGAATTATTTACTTGCATATTGTACTTAATGTAGTTATAAAAAAATTGCTGCTGTAATTATATTTTATCTTTAAAAGTCATAGTTATAGTGTAAGTAATTAAATAAAGTACAACTATTTTTTTTAATATTCAATTAACATTCTTTACACAGAAAATTTAATTAGGATAAATATTTGTATGTACTTTCTTGTTAGTTATATTAATATAAAATTATGCTATAGGCACATATTAAACATTACTTACAACATAACAAACCAATCTCCAGTGGTAGCCCCAGTAGCAGCTTGTGTTATATGTTCAAATATCTTGTCTGTGAGTTCCTTAACAGCAGGAGATTGATTTTTTTCAAAAAACCCATATATTTCGTTCTCATCTGGTTCTCCTATAAAACATACATAATTTATTATTCATGAATAACAATACATGTCATATGTAATATATTTTATTACATACTATTGGCAAAATAAATACATTACTTTTAAAAAATAGTACATTTACTTGGATATTCCCCATTTTTATAATAGGTACTATGTTTAGCATCAACATTAGAGCCGACGTTACAGATCCTCCAATGATAATTATGTCAACTAATATAGGGTATATTAGTTGACATAATTATCATTGGAGGTATTAGTTCATTTTTTATCATGTTTATTGAACAAGTTGCTTAAAGAATGACCAAAAAAAGTACAATTCTTAATAACTTCAATAATTCTTAAAATATTTGATTGTAATAATTCTAGCTACTCTTACCTAAAAACAAATAAGTATTTTAATTTTTCTACCCTTGGGTGCAATTGCTATCTTTTATAAACAGCATTATCATTGCTGAGTAAAATATTTAAAAAACTAGTATTTGAATGCCTAAATATAATAAACCAATTATAATTTACACAATATATACGAAACAATTAAAAATGACTAAATGGAGTACTAAATGGAATAAGATATTTTAACAACAAATAACTTACCATTGAATAACAATGGTACCCCATGCCTGAAAAACACTAGTGCAGGTTCTTTGGTAGGGCTATATAGACGTGATAAGTGGCTGTTCACTGTTTTTGCCGTAACTGCATGCAAGTGCTTCTTAAAGTCTTCTTGCAGACTTTCTAGGTTATGTTCAAATTTATTGCAGATGTCACATTCTGGTTTTGCTAAAAACAAAAACGGCGACATTCAGATTCAAGCAGGTCGAGTCTTAAGTAATTTTTAGTTAAGTACTAATTAAAACAAACTAACAGAATAAAACAATTAATTTATCTTTCTCTTTTATCAATTGCAATAAGTCATCATCGCTCACAGTCTGTATATTTCGACTGGTAGCAGTGAATGTCGTTGATATGTTCCATAACAATAATAAAACGCTAAGTTTCAGCTGCATTTTTCACGCTGATTATTATGCTGCTATTATATTTTATGTGTATTAGTAACGTGATAACAGCATTTAAACAAATTTAAAATAATAAGCAATAATAGATGAATAGAAATAAGAATATGAAATTTCAGTCAGTCTGTGGCAGTCAATCCTTTGATGTCAGTCTGTGATTTTTTTTATATTTTACGGCTCTGGATACAAGTTCTTTTTTAGCCCAACATAAAGTACAAAAACTTAAAAACAATTACAATTTCTTGACAGTGTTGTAAATAAATTTATATAAAGTCTTGTAATATTACAGATAAATAGTACAGGCCTTGATAAGATTTCTTCTAAAGACTTCGGTACTTCATTACTATAGTCTTTGAATATCACAGAGGAATTAACACTATAATTTCTGTTTTTGCCTATTTTACATAAAAAAAATGAAATGGGAGTCGAAAGCCTAGAATGCAATATGTATAACATTTGAATACACCTACAGAACCGAATCGTATGAATTTCTGTTCTGATTAAAAGCAAAGCAACCAGCCATAAGATAGAGATGTAGATTATACCTATTACTACATGTACACATATCGTCACTCAGAACACAACCAAAATAAGGGGAAGGGGATTGTTAGTAATGTGGATTGATAACCCCATTGCTGGCAATGTACCATACCAGGTCGACCTCCACGCGGTTCCCCCTGGAAACCATCGTGTTAAATGCTCATCTTATCATCCTCCACTGGTACCCAGCCAGCGTAAACCGTCAGCGCAGGTGGGTGCACCATTCTATTATAAACCCTAAAAAAAAAACGCAACCAAAAAAGCTGACGGAATGACAAAATAAGGAATGTATATGTATATACAAGGAAGTTTGAAAGTTGCGCCAGTTAGTCAAGTTGCGAGGTAATAGATTGTTATGCGGAGGAATGAGGATCTTGAGGATCAAGTCTTAAGGAAAGTGTATAATATGAACATGGATAGATGGAAAGGGAGAAGACGCCCTAAAAAAAGATGAGTGGGTTGTGTGAAAGATGATATGAGTAAAAGGAGAGTTATGACGGCAGACAAAGAGCAGTGGTAGAGAATGACATACTGCGCCGACCACAAATAATGCGATAAAGGCAAGCAATGATGATGACAACCAAAATCAGCTGTCGTTTTTGGTAATTTGATTCTGTGCGATGGAACAAGTTTGAAAGATTATTTAACGTAACAGTACTCTGAGCTCATTAAAAACACTAAAACTAATCTATGCCTTTTAGCCGTGTATGTACACAACACATACATAATTACATACATTCTAAATAAACTTTGAATTAATTAAACTGTTTTGTATTGTTTTATATATTTTTGAATCGTTGTTTGGATTAATACTATAGTAAAGTGAACGTAAAGACAGCAAAAGCAGGCGAAGGTTATCAACTATTTACTTATCGTATTGAAATTGCATTCGTTCCTTCTATTGAGAATACGCCTCGCAACTTCGATCCAACAAATGTTCTAATTCAAGCTTTCCATATTTATATTACTTATATTAATTTTAAGTGCAAGATTTGAGTAGTAGAGTGTATTTGCACGTGTCCAGCAGTATCTGGCAGGTGATTCATATTTGAATACATCAATCCCTACTGTCTTAGATACAAGAACAAGGGTGTGTAATTCTATGGATAATTGAATATGAGTCATCACCAGCATCCGCGCGGGAGATACATTAGTGTAGCGAATTTATTTCTAATAAGTATTTTTTGATGTCTTAGAAAATCAGAATGGCAGAAACTATAGACGAAAAAGTTGTTATGACTCCTAAGAGCAAAACGGCAACATCCACCACTCTTATAGTTGAGAGAAAAGCAGTAGAGGCCGAGGCTAGTGATAAAATACATGTGGCGGGGGGTGATCATACTGGAATAATCATCAACAAAGAGAAGATTTATGGTTTGTTTTAAACTAAATATATTACATTATTGAATGTGTCTTATTCACGCTTTACAGATATTGCTTAGTAAGCATATACATATTATATATATATATATAAGTATCATTGTTCATGGAACTTTAGTATCTTATATATAGACTCTTGATAACCAAACCACTATTAATACATTTTCTTTAAAACATATGTTATAGGAACAGTGCCTACTTCTCTTTCTTCGTTGCTTACTTCTATTCTCTTTGGTTCTGTGAATGTCAGACAATTTAGTTAGATATCTTATATGTATATGAATAGTTAAAAGATTCTTAGATCCATATACTATATTATTTGTTTATATTTAAGACGACCTCGGTGGTCTAGCACGCCGCTTTACGTCTGATGGTCGCGGGTTCGATTCCTCGCACGGCACAAACATTTGTATTCATGAGTATGATTGTTTGTATCGGTCTGGGTGTTTTCTATGTATAATAAGTATGTATTTACGAAAAAAAAATATCTATGTACTTGTATCAGTTATCTAGTACCCATAACACAAGCTTTAGCTAGCTTAACTTGGGTCTAGATGGCGCTGTGTGAATTGTCCTGAGATTATTATTATTATTATTATTATTATTATTATTATATTTATATATGTTTTTGTATATCATTGCATCCCTTAGGTATATATTTTCACTGCCAACAATTATTCTATGCATATTACTCTCTGAATAGTACAAAGTGCCGCATGGTGTTAAGTATGCCAAATATGCTGTTAGATTTTCCTTCAATACATGTGCATTGAAGTTAAATAAAAAAACAATATGCCATTATATCAACTTTGACCTTGCTACTTCCTGCTTGTTATCAAAACATAGTTCATGTATTTAGAATACACCACTAAACTTAAATGTCAACTCTAAAGGGAGTATGGAAATTTAATTATTTATCAACTAATTTTCATATGCTGAAAATAAATTGTAAATAACCATAGTTATTTTACAGACTTGATATTTTAGTTTAAAGTTTGTTATATACCTAAATATATGAATAATACTTCAAATGAATTTTACAATAACAATGTCTGATATTAATAGAATTTCCTTACCATCTAGTCCCAAGATAAGAAAAGCTGTTTGGTACAGGATAACATTTATAAGTGCTAAGATATATTTTTTTTATTACTTCAAATGTAATATACATAGAAAACACCCAGACAAATACAAACTATTATACTCATGAACACAAATGTTTGCACCATGTGAGGAATCAACACTGTAACCATAATGGTCAATATATATTAAGTTTTATAAAAAACTGTTATTCATCAATTTATATTTGAGAGTTTGAGACTGATGGAAATAAGGTTAAAAATATTTGTATAAATATATGGGAGCTTTTTACTTCCGTAAAATCTACACACATTGTCTTATAATTGTAAGGTTATATTGTTTGTATGTGTATTTATAAAGGCCCTCCTATCAATATTTTCAGAGAATGGAGTTACAGAACCATGTCACGCACAACTTGAGTTTCGTGTTTATCTTGTATCAACTGCTAACGGTACACATACAAGGGAGGCGAGAGCCCTCAGGTTCTGGTTTAAGCCACAGATGCCGCCGAATGAATGCCCACATGAAGCTCAGGCTTTTTTCAGAGAGCTTGTCAGTCCTCAAGATTTTCCAAAAGGTACCTACCTACTCTATTTCTCTATATGGTTCTCTTTAGTTGTAGGCTGGTCTTGATCATGTTGATAAACAAATCTATTTATATTAACCAGTGAAAAGGCAGATTTTAGCAATCTGCCTTTTCACTTTTCACAACGGGAAGGGGGGGGGACTGTCAGCCCAATTACTAACAATGTATGATGTCAGGTTGACATTCACGCAATCCTCTGTAGAATCTATGATGGCTAATTCATCACAATAGGCTAACTGAACTGACTTGGTGTCCTATATGTGAACCATTCCACTTCTTCATCCATCATAAAAATCGCACAGTTATACATATGATATGTGGTAATTCTTGTAATATTACATGATAATTATTCAATTAATTTTATACTAATTAGACCAAATATGCATGTTTAAAATGTATTACACCTGTAATGTAAAAATTTAGTATGTTTACATTAATTTTTATTTTAAATTAATTAATTAACATATATGATTACAGATTATGTGGGCTTTATAAAGAAAATTATAAAATTAATGCAGAATAAATACCACCAATTGAAACTGTTGGAAGTGGAACTAAGGCAAGAGGGACGAGGTTCACCGCCACCTGGTTGGTATTGTATTTATTTTATATGCAGATATAACTTTCTCATTTACAACAATTTCTATTAAATACCAGTTTATAATGTATAATACATGTGACTATAATGATATGAAAATTATATTCTATTATTTTGTATAAATATATCTATATTATATATGCATAATAATACTATTCTATACAATGTATTTATATACATATCATGTCTTTGATCTTTATTATTCTGGTTTTGTGAAATACAGATTAACATTATTATAACCAATTTGTCTCGCACTCATGATTGAAACTGCGAGTAAACCCTATATTTGCTAGACTTATCATAATTCTTATATATCAGCGAATGTGCTATCTTTGTATTATTTATAAATAGCCAAAACTGCATACAATAATTGATGATGATAAAACCAATTTATTCAACATACTATAATGTAACATAAACTGTTATTGTCAGTGTTTATTAAACTTATATTTAACATTCTAAAAATAAGTTTGTTCAATTATATATTATTTCATAACTTTTCTTTATTTGTTTTTTATCGTACAGAAGCAAATGGCGTTTTTACTAGTAAGGGCATTGTATACAACTCTTGTAATGGGTGTATGTATAATATTCAGTAGTATGCATGTGCTTCAACATATTAGAAAATAACTATTTATTCCATTTCAATAACATCCTTCATTTTCTCTATCCATTAACCTCGCTTTAACATTTAGAGATAACTAATCATTTCAATATGTCCTACAGTGAATAAAATATGAGTATATACAGTATTTTTTTTTAATATTTTGTCTAAACAATATTATTTAAAATTACAAACATTTAAACATAGTATCTAGTAATTGTTATTTGACAAGTTATAGCAATTGTAGCAGCTCCTACTGTATGTGTTGTTAGCAGTCACACCACAAACCCTCGCAAGTAAAGTTATAAGAATGTTTATTTATTCATATTACCTATTCTTCCATGTAATTTATCAACATATGTATGTGGCTATCTGTAGATAAAATGCTGTAGTTTCAGACAAATTTTAATATGAAAAATCCACTCATAGGGGTAATAAAAAAAAATTTGCTCAAAACTAAAATTTAGCAATTTTGCACATAGGCCATCTATATATTACGTCAGATGTTGAGAGGGAGATAGGTGTCAACCACCTATTTCCCTGTGCCATTGTATGTCAGCAGAGGCAGAGATCATAAATTTCGTGAAAATGTAATATATCTAAGTATTAAAACATCAGTACATCAATATAAACATTAAATTAAATAGTTTTGTTGACGAATTTAGAGATGGTTTATTACTATTAAATTTCTCAGTATAGTAGGGCGCGGAGAGTCTCACAAATGTGCCCGGCTGTGTCAAGGACGTGGGAAGCATTAAAAAAATTATGTAATTCGTGTGACGTAATTTATGGAGAGGCCCTTTCTTCTAGTCGTTAATCTGTGCATTGATAAAGATTATCTTCTACTTACATAAATTGCACTATCTAAATCTGTGTATTAAAACGTTTTTAGATACTTTAGATAATATATTACAATATTTATTCACCTGGAATGCTGATAGCACACAGTAACTTGAAACCATCACACATTAATATATTAGTTATTTTATGTGTGATGTACACATGTAATGTGACACAAATATGGGAAATATTAGAAATGTGTAAACAAATGGAATCACATAATTATATCAACAAAATCGAACGTTAGATTTTGTTGATATAATTATGTGATTCCATTTCTTTACACATTTCTAATATTTCCCATAAATTTATCATTACATTATACATCATTTTGTTATAAGATCATTATATATATGAACTATAATTTTCTCTAAACATTAATAATTAAAGATCTCACTGAGTTATAATTATAACTAAGCTTATATCTATTATACCGATAAGATTTGTGTTACAATTTATATTGCCGACTTATATATATATATATATATGCCACGTCGAATTCAAATAGTCTTCTGTCACCTTCTTGTCTTTGTTAGCACTACTACTACCCTCAGTAGTAACCAGACCCCTGTTTGGCTTACCTATTTAAGACCGGCCTTTATAGTCCTAATTCTATTTTGGGGAATGAAATACCCAGCAACAGTGGACATGTCAACTGTTGGTATATTATATGATGCTAAAGTTAAATGATGGGACAAGTTTTAAGTAATTAAAAGGTAAACAAATCATCAAAACCTTAATCAATTAGAAAGAAAAGATAATGTGTTGGAAGCAGAGTTGTTCAGTAGTGTTAAACTACATTTGTCTTAAAATTATTAGGTGAATTTAAAAAAATTGTCCTTAACTATTACGCAATGGGATCTTTATAAATTAAAAAAGACGCATAAGTTCAACTACTAATAGTAATATAGATACCTTGCCAACATTTACTGCTAGTTAGTTTAGTTGTTGGTATGATCTTTCTTTTGTGCATGTAACTGTTTTTATAACGTCAATTTCCAAAGTATTTTCGCTGTATAATATGGTAATATGTTTTTTATTTATTTTGTTACAGCATTTATTGAAGACAGTATTTTAAATCAAACACCTGTTATTTCTGAACAAAGAGTACTAGATATGATAGAAAATGCATACCCTAATCCTCTGACTGTTGAAGATTTTGTCACGTAAGTATTTTATTTAATAGTTCTTTTACATTTTGAGCTTTGCACAAGTATTTCAATGAATTTCCACAAAGACTTATACCATGTGCGTTGTAGCATAGTATAGGTGACAGACAGACATGTGGAGGTTCTGTTATATTTTATACTCTTTGTAAAAGTTTCCTAAACTATAGAAAACTATTCAACTTTGTATTTTTTTCATTTTAAACGTTTTACTCATAAAAAAACATCAAACACTTCGTGAACCTAATGTAGTTCAATCTAGAAAATACTGTAAGAGCCTTGTAAATAATATAAAAGTTAGTAATATATATAAATGCTACACATTTTTAATTTAATTTATTTTACAGAGCCGGTAAGTGGTCAAAAACAGATGTGAAGGATGCCCTAGAATCATTAGAAGAAAAAGGCTTGACACGTGCTATGTCAGACGGTCTCTATATTCGACAACATAGTATTGATACACAGGTAATAAAACTTTATTGATAGATATTGACTGAACTTTGTGCCAAAACTCTCCATTTAAACAAAAAAAATATAGATGGATTGTATTAAAAATGATATGCATAAAAGAACAGTAAATTCGGATATGACGGCCGATAGGGATAAGTGTACGATGACGTAGTATATGGCGACCCGAAATGGTGGTAACCAATGATGATGAATAACTGTATTTTATAAATTAATCGTCTGTAAAAGTTGCAATGCCTAAAAGGTGCACCATAATTGTGTAACGTAAATAAATTAATAAAGATTTCAAATTGTCGACTCCTCTATCTAATCTGATCTATAATTTTAAAAACTAAATATTGCTGAAGTAGTTTATTATTATATTATATGTCTTATTACGATTCCTGTACATATATTTGTTTCTAGCGCGTGAAAACGAAATGGGCTAATAGGCACATGATAATATATATATTTTATGTTCCATTTCAATAACAGGTTGTGAAGCAAATGCCGACATTGTGTTCGTCACGACAACCCAGCATTGCTGTAGTTACGGCTCTCTATTGCGAGAAGCAGGCAGTAGACGCTATGATGGATAATCAGGAGACTTATGTTCGATTTACTACTGTGGGTGAGTATTAGTAGCTTAATTATTGTCTTTTTATAGTTTTTATGCACGTCATATAATTTTGTATATATTTTTGATATGAATACATATATCCTATGCATTACAATATTAGTCATCAAAATTGGGTGTCAGAAACTGACTGATGGCGTTAGTTTATAGAAAATAAAAACATAAATAAAATAGTGTAAACAAATTACGTTCAATTACAACCAAAGTTTACTATATTTAAGTCTGGAGTGCCAGTTTCAAAATTGACTTTACTTAGTTTGACTTTAAATATTCATCCACTTTAGTTTGACTGTTATCAAACTAAAGTGGATGAATATTTAAACTATTTGACTGTTAACTAGTCCCAAGACGAAGGTGTACGACCAATGTGTGTTGCCAGTGATGACTTACGGCACAGAGACGTGGTCGCTAACTATGGGCCCCATGAACAAGCTCAGAGTCACTCAGAGGACAATGGAGGGCTATGCTCGGAGTTACTCTGCGTGTTCGAATCAGAAATGAGGAGATCCGCAGAAGAACCAGAGTGATCGACATAGCCCGAAGAATTGCGACTCTGAAGTGGCAATGGGCAAGGCACATAGCTCGTAGGACAGATGGCCGTTGGGCCGGTAAAGTCCTCGAATGGCGACCACGGACTGGAAGACGCAGCGTGGGAAGGCCTCCAGCAAGGTGGACCGACGATCTGTTCAAGATCGCTGGAAGGCATTGGATGCGAGCAACGCAGGACCGATCGTCGTGGAGATCTTTGGGAGAGGCCTATGTCCAGCAGTGGACGTCTTCCGGGCTGAGATGATGATGATGATGATGATTGACGGTTAACTATTCTTTATCTGCTGCATAGTCTTCGTAACGGTCATCTATCTCTATCTATCATAACATTAATTTTAGATAACTGTTGTTATTTGTATATTTTTTATATTATATAAATGTAATTTATATATATATAAGTATCAGCATTTTTATTATTAGAGTATTTTGACAATAAATAACTAAAACTATATTAGTTATATTTATTATTTTTGTTGTAATAGAATGTAATTTGTGTGCAATATTAATAGCAAAGGTTTTTTATGTAATTGCAATGGAAAACAACCAGACGACCCACCTGATGGTAAGGGGTAACCGTTGCCTATGTACTACATACAGTACACCATTTATTCACAGTTCACGTCCACTCCGATCGATCCCCCGCCCAATTCAAACCGGTGTCGAAATTACTATGGCCTGATCCAAAGTTCTAATTCCTAGCTGTACCCTCAAACTGAAGTCGTATCCGTTAGGCAGAAGTTGGCCTTCAGCCGCTCCATAAGTTCTTCCGCAGGTTTGGAGTGCCATCTGCACTCGTTCTCTATCGTGTGCTGAAGCTGTAAAGAACAGCATTTGAGTAGTCCGATAAAAAAGCTTTCACGTTTTCGTGTGACACTCGTGATACCACTCATACGTTGCCACTCGAGAGGACTAAGTATCACGCCTCTTATCCTGTAGTTTCACTGCCTAATTGCACCCTATAACAATGATTACAAAGCAAGTTGCTTATTGAGAATGAGCATGCAGACGTCTTTTTACAGTCACTCTGGTAAAGTCGAGCAATATGAAACATATATACATATATTTTATTACATTGTTACCTTTAAAAAATTTTAATGTGTCGTATTTGTTTTGGGTTAGGTAATTCACTGTTTATGCAGAAAAATAGCCGAGTGTGAATTTAATACGAAATTGTTACGTTTCCAAAAGTACTATTAAGGTATTTATTGTTAAAATTGTTGCTGTAGGACTATATATGAATAAGTCCACTTCAAAATTATCCTCTACAAAGTATCAGGAAATTCCTGAACAAAAGGATTAAGTGTATGATAAGTAAGTACATTTGTCAAAACAGCAAAAGGTAAATAACAATAACATGTTTTCACGACAGAAGGAAACCCAATGCGATATCTATTACTCTCAATATTATGTTCATTCATTATATTAATATTTACGTCACCGACGTGTTTATATTATTTTCCCGCTTAATTGCAATGAAAATCAATTATGTATATATATACATATATATATATATATATATATATATATATATATATATATATATATATACTTAATATTATAAATGCGTTAGTAACTCTGTCTGTCTGTTGCGCTTTTACGCCATAACTACTGATCGATTTAAATGTAATTTGGTATACTAATAGTCTAGACATCCTGAAATACATAGGCTACTTTTTAATGCGAAAAAAGAGTTGTGAGGGGTTGAAAGGCGAGATGAAAGGTTGTTTTGTAATTTTTAAAGCTAGAAGTTTGAAACTTATTTTGCTGGCTGTTGATTAAATATAAATAAATATGGCATACAGTTTGTAACAAATTTACCCTTAGGGTCTAAAATAAAATAGGGAATGTAAATATGTATAGAAATTCGTGATATTTAAAGCTAAAACAATGAAACCTCTGACTTTTTATAATTAGCCTTAATAATTATAAATGCTATCCAAGATCCCACGCGGACGAACCCGCGGGCTTAGGCTAGTATGTATGTACTAATAATATTAATAAAGAAGCACAAAAATGATTATATTTATTAAAATATTAAGATATTGCTTGATTTATCTATCAAGCTAATTAAATAAAAGAAACATACAAGGACGACATTAATCACTATTTAGAGAGATAAAAAGAGAACGTAAATGTATAATTTACGTTCTCTACATTTGTTTGTGTAAAGAGATAAAAATTTGGTAGTTCGACAAAAGGAAATTCCTGAATTAAAAAAGTATGTAGCTAAATTTACTAAACTAGTTGTGTACAACCTGACCATTACCTATACGATAATATGTTAAAATTTCCATTAGATGACTTCATAATGAAGTCATGGCATGGTTTCAAATCCAAAATGGAAGTGGAAAGTAACAATGAATAATTATTTAGAATAAAAAGGAGAATTTCCTAAAATTTATTGTTCTGTATTTGCAATATGATAAAATATTCCGTCACAGTAAAATAAAGTAAATAAATACTTATCAACGTCTCTTATATTAGGGATCTATATCAAAAATAGAAATAAACAGTCCTTATATTATTTCTTCGATTTTTATATGTATTTCGACGTTATTATATTTAAAAATTGCTGTCTGCTTTATTAATTAAAAGTACCTGTTAAATGGCATATTACAATGTACGAGTAGATAATCTAAAGGTCGGTCGGTTTCTTAGTTTACTTCTAAACCACAGAATAGATTTTGATACAGTTTTAAGCATTATTTCGAAATTTTATTTACATCCTTTCTACTTCCTTATCCCATTAATTTGGGGTCGCTGGCGTAATGTTTTTCTCTTCTATTCATCCCTGTTCGCAGTCATCTTGTTATCATTCCCTTTCTTATCATAGCATTTTTCACATCAAAATTTTATTTACAGTTGTAAGATTTTGGTTGAATACGTAGTACATCCGTTCATCGCTGAAGCGGGTAGCTAGTTACATAAGTAAAACGCGTTGAATTCGTCTATTAAAGTAAAATATATAGTAATAACAATCCTGGATACACACAGCGCCATCGAGTCCCTAGCGAAGTAGAGCTTGTGTTATGGGTATACACACACATAATATACATAGAATACATATAAGATTAAATATATACTTTTGTTACAATATTGTAAGCCAATATAAAGATTATTATTATTATTATTATTATAAAGAAACATACTGATGAAGACAAGTGCGTGCGAGGAATCGAAACCGTGACCATTGGAATGTAAGGCGGTCATATACCAATTGTCAAGCTATTATAAAAATGGCAAAGCTAATATTATGTAAGTCTCAAAATATAAAGTGTTTTTCTTGAAGAGGAAAATGCATTTTAGTATAAAACCTATGTTATAAATAGTAATACGTTCATTCATAATAATGTATTATATTAACGTAACAAACAATTGATAAGTTTTTCCCGTTTCATTATATTCCCATAATTATACAATAATTCCCATAATTACTATTTAAAGAGGATGATTTTGATAAATCTATGTTTTGTAGTCTCAATTTTAATTAATCCTGCTATTTGTAGAGGTAAATGTTTATGTTGATGCTGGATTTTTTTTTCAGTTTTTAAATAGTACAATTTTTGAATATTTTTGTATTCACATTCAATGAATTCAATTTTTCTATAGCATTAATCTTTTTCTTGCTGAAATTTATTCGCAAGAATCACTTTTCTAATAAATTTCAAGGAGAAAAAGAGGTGAGTTTAGGTATTTGGTATAGCATGAAGTGCACGATTTTTTATAAATAGTAAGTTATATTTTGCTTTCAAGTTATCTACGTCGCGATTTTCTGAAAATGAATCGATATATGTATACATATGCATCTCCGTTTCCCTCACGCCATGAATTCAGACCAATTGAACAGAGTTAATCACCTTGTAGAAAGTTTTTAGGAACGAAAATAAAGAGAATTGCGCATGGAAATTTCAGAGACCACTACAACGGAACTATTAGGGGGCGGCTCTTCTAAATAGGTATTCTTATTCTATGTTAGCGAAACAAAATACTCAAATTATATTATTTTATTGTACTATAATATGATTCATTTATTACTTATAAAATCAACAACATTAAAGACGATAACAAATTATTATTAATGTACTTAAGTATATTAAGTATATTTTATTGGGCTATTCCCAAATGTATAAATGCACTGGTGGAACTAAATTGCTACATCTCACAGCAAACTGATGCTTGTTTAAGTTTAATAGTGGTAAAACAAAATGGCGGTCACTCCTCTAAAAAGAGGGAGACAATTGTTAGTAATGAACTCTCCCTTATTATCTATTTTTTCCATTGCTAACAATGTACTCTATGTAATCTAACAAGTTGACCTCCATGTTATTCTTCCTGGTCATTATACACTGTTCTTGTGAATTAACTTATTTCATCCTTAATTTTTATCTTTCACTGATGTCCTAGTATTTCTTTCACTAGTCTACTACATGCCGTTAACATAGGCTGGATCACCATAGCATTATAACCAATACATAAAACAACCAATTCAATTCAGAAATTAATACTACAATTAAAAAAATATATACACAATAAATTGAAATATACAAGGTATGGGGGAAAGTTGTGTGTAAGTATAGAAATTAATGACATTTGGTCCTCTCTACCTGAACTGTTTTTAAATATAATCTTACCAGGGGTATAATTATGAAAAAGTACAAAAGTATTTACATGTTACTGAATACAACTACTCAGTGTAGGGGGACATTCATCATTGACTATGAGGATACAATATTGTTTTTGTCTATAAATAGAATATCCATACAAAAATATTCTTTATCTGGCAGCATCAATCCATATTTTGCATTTACATATTAATTTATTGAAGAATTCATATTACGTGCAGTATGATGTATATACAATATACTTAATAAATTACTATAATTCATAAATAAAACATATACTTGTAACTTATGTCGTTATGAGGTACATATGAAGGGTGGGATATTTATAATGTATTAATTAAAAAGTAATTAAGAATAAATATAAATAATAATAATTTAGAATAAACAAGCAACAACAACTATTATGTGTTTGGTTACTTAATAACACAAGTCAAATAATATTTTAATATTTCATAAAAATTAATGAATGTTTTTTTCAATTATGAATACAGCACAGCAACACAGCAGTACTTATTAAAAATATGCAAAGCAGCAGTGACTAGCTAATAATCGTATATTAGAGTAAATAAAGTACCTATACTTATAGGACAAATCAAGCAAACAATATTAACTTAAATTGCAAAATATAGTTGCATATTCCTTATAAACTAATTGATCAGAATTGTCTGCTCCTAAGAGCTCATATTCACTATATTTATAAGAAAAATTATGAATGTGTGAACAATTAATAGGACTATTAATGTATTAAAAATAGTATATCACCTTACAAAAGACACCTTTTCTAACTGTAGAATTTTCTTACTACAGGCCACTATTACTTTTTTTTCTATTTATTATTCCTTTTTAATACACCAAGATTTCTTGTGATATTAAGTAGTTGCAGTGCCAGTTTTTAATAATTGTATAAATAAGGCATTTAATTGTATATATATATATATATGTATATATATATTATGAGAACATAAATTCTAATTTATTCACTCTTTCGATATCACCATCTAGGCTTACATATCGGATTTTATCACAACTGTTGCTTATTTCAAACTCCTCCAGAGAATATCCATCGTATTTTATTTTTATATAGTACCCAATCCCATTTTTTTCTCCACAAGTGAAACCCAAGTTGAACTGGGATCCTAAAAAAATACATTTTATTGTCAGAAGTCACATATGTATATGAAAAAGAAATATTGTGTAATATAACATACAATATAAATCACATTATTATTATAACCCTGAACAGATTGTTATCATAATTCTGGTGCAGTGGTGCTAATTCTTGTATTTACTGTTGTTTAATAAATTTTATATTTATACTAACTAAAGTCTGTGTCTTGTCTGCATGGTATTTTTATTTCTTCTATTAACATTTTTAACCTCCTTATTGTAGTGAACTTGTATATTTATATTATGTGCAAACATATTATTACACTTAAATTAATGTTATAACACATATGTACAAATTTACTTTATAATAAGTTAATACACATAAATCATATTTTTAATTTACATACCTGTAATTAAATCAGTTGCTTGCATATTTTCATGTCTTCCATTAATATCCTCAGTATAATTTTGTTCCATTTTTCTTATAAACAGTCTATTTTCAACAAAATTCATTTCTAATTGATAATAGTCACCATTTTCCATTGTTACACTGAATGTTAGTCTGAAAAATATATATTTAGTAAATTACAAGCTAATTTAATAAGCAAGAAAACAGGTCTAATTAATTGTACAAAAAGGAAAACTACTCCTATAGGTACTAAATTAGCATAGTCCAATGTGGATGTAAATCCAATCATTAGCAAATGGAATTATCTAAATTAGCACAAAACAAAGACACTGCATTACATCCTCTTGAAGTTGTTTGTAAAAAGAAAATATGTTTAACAGTAAAATCAATATGAATTCACCCAAACTCTAAAACTATAACCTCAAAATATTATACCTGTTAGGATTGCTTGTTACTGTTCCTTGAATTGAGACTTCATCTTCTGGATTTAGTTCTTTAGGTATTAAGAACATTGTTTCCGACTGTGATCGTGGCTTTGGCCAGGGTGGCACTTGTCGATTTACAGAGTTTAATTGTATACTAGTAGTATGTTCATTATATTGTTGCTCGTTTGGAGACCTAACGTAAAGTAAAAGCAGTTCACGTATAGCACAAATTTCTATTCAAATTGGAACGTGACGCACGAAATCTAGAATAGAAGTCACGAAATTGATAAGTACTGAATAGTATTTAATTTATAGCACTTATGGCTAAGTAGTTACATATAATGTATTATCTTATGTTCTAGAAATAAATCTTGATCGATGAATTAATTTTTAAATTGAAATAGTCATTTAATTTACATAATTGATAAGTATTTAATTCATAGCATATGGCTAATATTTATTAAATTAAAATAAGCCTTTAATATTATTAACAAATAAACAAAACAATCTGGTCAATACTACTGTACACACTGTAACTAATTTGACATTGACAATTGGTACTGACATTAGGCAGAGGCCTGCATTCGTTCGAGAATACCATCTAAACACGCTGTGTCAATTAGTTACTTTATTTGTCGTTGACCTCAACCTTCATTTTACAAGTTCTCATCATCTCTTAAGTTACAATACTTATATGTACAAATGTTTGCTACTTTCTTTACTATATTAAAACCATACCCGAATAAGCAGTCACAACACGCTTTTATCATCTTCTATTTTAAGGCACTAAACTTTATAACTCAACTGGTGTTTGTAAACTGATGGAAGGATTTGGAATTTCGTATTGAGCCTTGTGTTCAAGACGATGTAATGACGTAATCTTGAAAACAAATATGCTGGTTGCTGCTAGTAGGCACGTCTTGGAAATAACAGCAACTCGTAATATGCGCGTAGTGGCGTTTACACTCAACATAATACTGTTATTTGTTAGGATTGTACTCTATACTAGATGTTGCAATAAGTGTTACAAGTTTATTTTTATGTTGTAGTCAATATATGGCTGTCTACTTAATATATTATATTGACTTCGCATTCGTAGTTTGGTTGTTCACAATATGTAGACAAATATTTAACCGCCTCGTTTGTCTAGCGGTACCGCTTTACTTCCGATGGTCGCGGGTTTGATTCCTCGGTATAAACATTTTTATTTATGAGTAGGATTGTTGGTAATGGTCTGTAGTATTGTACTCTATGATGATTGTTTGTATGAATATGTTTTTTATGGATGATATTGGAAAATAGTGCAGCCGCCTGTGCCTACAGTGTACCCTGACGGGACACCAGTAGAGCATGAGGACAGATGAGTTAGCCCATTGCGACAATTCACAAGGAATTTATCACGATGGTTTCCAGGGGGAATCGTGTGGTTGTCCACCTGACATGGTACATTGCTAACAATTGATGTGATTAGACCACATTACTAAAAATTTGCTTCCATCTCTATGTATATTATGTCTGTACATAATAAAATATATCTACGTAGGTATTAATATCATTTGTCTAGTAAACACAAGTTCTGCTCAGCTTGGGAGTATATGGTAGGCATTACATGAATAGTCCAGGAATATAATTGTTATTATTGTATTATTTGTATCCATATTTGGATTGACATTGAGTTTTCTATGATTAAAATAAAATATATTAAAATTTAAATACATACATGCATGTACGTATTTAAATTTTTTATTACATCCATTCGTAACCAAATACCCAGACTAAATAGAAGATTGTTTATAATAGTCAACATTGCTAGTAATAAACCTTATCAGGTCGGCTTCCACGTGGTCTCCTCTGGACACTATCGTTTAAAAAAATAAACAGTAATGTATGGTAATGTACGGTCAATGGTATGGTGCATTCATCTGCGTTGACTTTATACGCTGGACAGTGGAGAATTAAATAATGAGCTTGAAGTCATTCAGAAGAGAATTTGTTAAAAATTAGAAATTAACGATGATGGTTTCTATTGGGGAAAGTAGTTCCACCTATTACATGAATATGTAACCAAAACCAAACTATAGCGGTAAATGACAGGCTAACTGACCGCGTCGGACGGACTGCGTCCTCATCCTATCATCCTTCACTGGTTCTGCGCTACCGTATACCGTCAGACCAGGCTGGCGCTTTATTTTATATTCAAACATAAAGAGACCTCATTTCTATTTACTTACGTATTGTATAGCTAGGATTATTTTTATTATTCAATAATAAATGCGCAAATGATGCACTTCTTACCATAGAGAATACAAGTTCTCTGGAATAAATGTCTTCTAAACATTCTAGTACTCAACACATACGACCCGTACATTGTTTCATATTAGCCGTTCATTGCTGATTATAGATTGCCCTTGCCATAGATCGATCTATTATTGTAAGTAGTTATTTACCGAGACTGCATCTGAGTGTTATTCTGTGATACTAATTCTACTGCTATGCAGTTTGCATGGCAATCCGTGTAAGACATTAAGAGTTCGTTTCTAAGACAATTAGAACCAAGTAGTAATTAATGTTGTAGAAGAGATTTCATATGTGAAAAACTCAGATTGAGCATCAGAATTTATTTTGGTACACCTCTTGGAGAGTACAATAAACCCGATAGATTGTTCTTAATATATAATGTAGTTAAATTATTGTATACATGAGGTTGAGGAGGAATATATTTTGAATTAGTATATATTATTTTTTTTTACAATTTTACATTATAATCAAAAAGTTCTTAAGAATACCAAAGACATGTAACAAAAAAAAACAAAAAATGAATTTTGTAGTCAAAGTGCCAAAATGCCTTCTTCTATGTAGAAGTAATATTGTTACTAGTTTTCTAGATTTATGGCATATTTTTTTCATATATTAATTTAATTTATTTTCCTATTGCTGTCTAAGCTATCATCATCTATACTTTAAGGATACGTACAAATGAGGAACACCAATCAAAGGACGATAATTGAATACAAATAACAAACATTTATTTTGATTTAAAAACCAAACTGAAACAATAAATTAATAGTACAATTTTTAGTAAAGTATGTAACAATATATCTCTATTTTTTTAAAACCAAGTCAGCTACTTGGTTTTAAAAAAATAGAGATCCACATTTATGTATATGTTTCTCCGCTTACTTCTTTCAAACTCAACAAGATTTTAATATTGACGTTTAAATATTTAATCATGATATGCTTGTATAATACATCGTTTTATTATATATTAGCTTCTCGCCCCGCCGCCCCCGGTTTACATGTATTATACATATAAACCTTCATCTTGAATCACTCTATCTATTAAAAAAAGCTTCAAAATCCGTTGCGTAGTTTTAAAGATTTAAGCATAAGTATATAGGGACGGACTAACTGCGACAGCGACTTTGTTTTATAATATGTAGTGATGATAATCATAATTATATATACCTACATAACTATACATATGTATTTGTACAATTCAATCATTCCAATCCGGATGAAGTAAGATTTTTTACGGCGGGATGACCAGTTATTTTTAAATGTATAACATTTATAGATTTATGTGTATTTAAACAAACGTTTATCAAAATAAACTGGTAAATACATCATCTTCAGTGTATAGTATTACTATATCATTTTAAATGTCATTAACTGATCATATCTGTAATAGTAATGAACAATTAATGACTTTCAAAATGGTCCACTATTAATACACCGACCACATTGCAAAATGTCAATCTCATTGACTCAGAGGCTGTTATGAGATCGATGTGATTTTAATTTTGTTAACTGTCATCGTCATAACTAATATCTAGCGTTGTAAAATTTTCACGTACAGGAACCTGTCTACATGTCTAGGTGATGTCGACAGCAGATTTTAAACCGTGCTCCCAACTGTCAGGGACATTTTTGTGATAGTCACGTCATACTGACATTGGTGGTAATCAAACCACTATAATTTCAACCGTGATTTTCCACCACTTACGATTTTCATACATATTCGAATATCAATTTTGTAACCTTAATATCATCTCCACTGATTTGAATATATTTTAATTTATTATTGTTTTCATTGAGCTCCATTTCATGAATTGTATTTTTGTGTAAGTCTTGAATTTTTAATCCGCTTTCCTCTTGGCTTGATTTGTCTATTATTCTTTGAAATCCGACAATAAATTCCGAGCCTGAAAAGATATAATAAATGAAAAACACTTGTAATGGTGACAAGAATATAAAAGACATGTGGTTTGATGGGAAAACCTAGACATATTTTTATACGGGCATTTTGTATTTGACCGTCGACTTGCTTACACCAACGCGCAATTGACCATACACAACTAGGTAGGTGTTCAGATAGGTACTATAAATTCTCACGGCTCTCTCACTGGTTTCTAGTCAAGGCCATATACGATATTATTCTCATTGACGTCCGCGACGCTATATGATCTTATAATATGTGGTACATTTAATTTAGTCTCTATTTTTATTTAGAAAATAGATTGGTTTATATAAATATATGAGTTGACTTTCTAATTTACTATTCAATTCTGTACCAGATTTCGACCGAGCCCTTATTTCTTTAGAATAAGCGGGGTCGCTATAACGATTACAAGATAAATTCCTAATACTTGCGGTGTACCTAAACAAGAAGTATTTTTTACAATATTTTTTTAATTGAGACAAAAAAAAATATATATGTCTAACCAATGGTAATTATTTACAGTTTCATCCATATATTTTATTATTTATATAAGGAAAATTTTAGTACCCTATAATATATTACGTTTTTGAATTGTTTCATTATGGGGCAAAAGTAAATTTAGTCACTACCAATGGCTTCATCTTTAGTTGAGTACGTTACGCTATGACATCAGTATCTTACGAGCATGCTGGCGCCAATGGTGACGAATTCCCAAATAATATAATTATTGTCAAATCACAAGAAATACACTTAAAAATAGTACCTAATTAGTGGTATTGTTTCTCAAAACTTGTACCTACAGCCGTAAAGAAGCATGTAAACATAGGTGCATCAAGGATTTCCTTTTATACTATGTCTCTACATATACAAAGGAAAACATCATAAATTTATAAATGTAGCTACGTACTTATAATAAAAACCGATTAAAATCACGTATCGTACAATTCTTATCGTACCTTGTAATACGTGTTGTTTGTTATCTTTCTACAAAGAATGCATAGTTAAACGTAGGTATAATATAATTTATCAAAGTAGACTGGTAAAATGAGAGAGATATCTTATTATCACAATCTTAATAAAATTTATGTTAATAGTTAAATGTTTCAATTTGTAGATCTGAACAGACCAAGCTCTGTATCATCTAATATATTAATCCATGCAAAGAAAGGAGTTATAGCAGTGTAATATATAAATTATAACTATGTTACCATTTTTTAAGGTATTTCCTTCCAACGGATTCATAGTCATATTGTAGTCGTTTTGAAATATTGAAATCATGTCTTCTTTCAGTACCAGTGTACAAGGCGGAGATGCTCCTGAGTTTAGTTCATCATCCGTAATTAAACTTATATTCAATCTGCAATATGAAAATATATATTAGGCGCATACAAGTAGGTAATGAATGACATACATACATTAGAACTTTGTTTCCACTTGAAAAAAATGTTTATTATTTGAAAACTGGCTGAACCAGCTCACGTTCTGTCCAATGAAGTAGCGATACCTACTAAGTCCAATTATGTTGTTAAACCATCTAGGAACCTATTGAAATATACGCATAAACTTTCATCCAAACTGGTTCAGTGGTTTAAGAGAAATACATATGCATAAGAATTAAAGATAATGTTAAGGTATTAAAAAATTAAAATAATTACTTACGATTTTGAATTGTGTATATTTAGAAATACAGTGATAACGTCATTTAGGCCAAAGACTTTTGGCAATAGTAAATTGTCTTGTGTTTTTGGCCTATTAGCCTCCTTTGGAACGTCTTCGTAAGTTAGCAGTTGCCTAGAGATAAGCAAATACATTTCATCAGTGATTAAAATAGATTATATAGTGTCTACTTAAGAGAAGAGGAAAACCCGTCTAATAGGTAATAGGTACTATAGAGTAGTATTAAAAATAATGATGAATATATTATTCTAGAGTATATTACTAGTATTATTTTTAAAGTATATATTATACGGATACGGAACTTATTTTTTCAAGAAGTGTAGTGGAACTAAAATTTCTACATTTATTTTATATATATATTTTGTCCTTATTATTATTAATTACATAATTTGTTTTTAATAAAACACAGCAAGACAAATAAGTATTTATTAGTGTCCGAGCAAACTGTCTGTTTTGTTTTCAGCTAGTCTTAGCGTAAAATTAGTTTGTATTGTCGCAGCAAATTGGCGGAAAAATAGGCTGAACCGGAAACGACGCTCGTAAAATTTGTTGACCGATACCAATACTCACTATTTTTTCTTTCATATTTCAAAAGGTGCGCTTTACTTTAATTGGCCAAAACCAAAAAATAAAAAGAAAACCTTCTGATACGACTTATCCGCACTTTCGTCCGTCTGTCACATCGCTATATTTCACAAATGACTAATACTATATGGAAATTAAAATATTGTAGTTTTAGATAGGGTTATTCCAATCATAATGCTGCTATTTGAAGACGTCATCGTCAAATGTCGTGGCGTCCAATGATTACAAAACATTACAGAAAAAATAAGAAAGAGTTAATCAATATGTAAAATTTTATATACGTATTCGGTGACTATAATATTTTATTAATTCATTAATATTGTCAATACTGAGTATCGTTATGGTTGAGTACTGTCACAAATGACTATACTAGTTACTAATGTAATTTAAGTATATCTTTATCGTCATATTAATATTTCCTTTTATAATACAAATGACTGTGTTTAATTGTCTTTTAAAAATTATTGAGTTATGAATGTTCATTTACGCAAATAAACGTGATTTGAGAGGCAATTTAGTAAATACTTCAAAAATATATTGAAAAGACATTCAGGTTAGGATTTGACATTCCAGTAGAGAATGTCGGTCAAAATTATCATTATTATGTATAGGTATCGTCTCTTCAATTTCTTAGAAGTGTTCACGGATATGCATAAAAAGTCGAAACTACAAAGGTGAATGGTCAGGTAGAGACATTGAATTGTCTTGTTATCAATTGAATAATAAAAATTTATAACAGCAAATACTAAGATGCATGTGTTGCATTTTCTGAATTCAACTGTATGCACAACTGTATATTTATATAATTACTAAATTACAATTCATATTAAATATCGTAATGCTTTGAAATATAAATGTAATTAAAATAATAAGCAATTTTAAAACTTGGAACTTTCTTCAAATATACACACTTTCAGTTCGACGAGGAAAGTTAATTTCGCAAAGTGCAGTTTAAACCTTATTGCAAAGTAAAACGACTTAATATGTCGCTATTAAAAATCCTATTCTTGAGATTCCGTTGTCCCAGTATGTACTTACAGTTATTGACAGAGTCAGTATTTAACACACGGATGTTAATAAGGTATAAAGTGAATCCAGCAAATAAATAACACTTGTCTATAAAATTAAATAGATAACTTGAATATTAATATTCTTTATGATAGCCTTATGTACCTATGTACCTATCTTATTTAATTCGTACATTAATTAAAGCATATGGTGTTTTAATTTAATGGGGGTTATTACCCCTAAATCTATTGCCTACTTACCTAATGAATTCATACTCAATATAATAGCTTAATATACGCACCATAACAAAAATATAATAATTTACCTTTTGTCTGTGCTGATATCGTAAGGACGTGCCGTAATTCCAGTACATACATACACAATAAACAACAAAATGACAACCATCATATTAAACACAAATGCACTTTAATGACACACTGTCCTGATGATACACAGTATATTTATATAGTATAATATTATTACTTTCAATATATTCACTTTATCACAACAAAACAGTGGTGCATATGGTTTGACAATTAATACTTAATGAACGGCTTAGCGCCGGTTGGCCTTTTATTCAAGTTAAAGTGAATCATTTGAAACCTCTTTACGTCACAAACGCCACTACCTTTACACGTATGAATTTATGTTACTCTGGTTTAACTTGATCAGTAACGGGAATTCCCAATTGATGTGCATACAACCCTTAATGTTTTCTGGTTTATCTTACGTAGTTGACTTGATTCTCTAACGTCAGGAGTACTATAGGTATTGGATTTTTTTTATATTGATAAAATATTTTGAAATTGCTTTTTAAGCTGTTTCGGTTAAAATGTGAGGTAAGATTGTGAAATAACAGGATAAAAGGCATGACATCTTAATCGTAAGGCGACGTCTGAGTGGCTTATCACAGGAGTCACATGGTTACGTGTTCGCCTAAGTACTATTTTTTTTGTTATTGGGTTATAGACGATGCTTACTGTTATGGTTGCTAACCATTAGCCATTCCTATTATATAAAATATATGTAATTGTATGTTATATGTAAATATATGTAATTGTATTAATAAATTAAATCTCAAACGTGTATGTATAATGCCCCACATAACATATTCTAAGTCGGATATAGGTCGACCTACTACCAAGTACAGACGAAACTTAAATCAAGGGCATCTTTGCCTTCACCTGTTCTGTTCGTAGTAAGTATTCAAATTCTAATGTTTTCCTTACAGGTGAATCAAACGTATACACACTGGGAACTATAGGTGCGCACAGAGTTGTCACAACCAAGCTTCCCTCCGTGGGAAGAACCCGCGAAGCCATGACTGCCGCTGGAAATACAACTACCAGACTACTAGGCATTTTCCAAAAGGTAGTCAGAAGGGGAAAATATTTTAAAACAACGAGTTTCAATTATTTTATATGTAATTATAATAGCAAACATGCTGGTCGCAGGGTTTGTATTTTGCCATCAGTATTTCTGTTTCAGCCATTTAAAAGCAAATTTGACGGCCTCGGTGGTCTAGCGGTCTAGCGTATGCTTTACTTCCGTCGGTCGCGGGTTCGATTTCTCGCACAGTGCAGACATTTGCTTTCATGAGTATGATTGTTGGTATCGGCCTGGGTGTTTTCGATTTATATTATGTATGTATATACAAAAAACAACTTAAGTATTTTATCACTTGGCTAGTATCCATAGCACAAGTTCTTGTTACCGTGGTAGTAGATGGTGATGTATTAATTGTTGAGGGTTATTTATTATTATTAACTTGCTTTGTAAGTAACTGTAATTGTTTGTGTATCGATTAGAGGGTGTGATACGGCAGACCTCACATGACGTTATATGCCCGTGGAGCTCTTTTAATATATAGGCGATGGTTGCTACTTATCATCACTGGGTGGGTGAGCCGTCAGCTTATTTGACATTCCCTACATTAGCAAAAAATCAGGGATGTTATGGATATGAAATTTCGGATACGGATAGGTTTCGGATATAGGAATGATTATAATACCGGATACGGATACGGATGTGGATATGAAATTATTTCGGAATATCCGTTAGTTTCGGATAATTTCGGTTATGGATATTATTTTTTTAAGGAATTTCAAAAGAAAAATAGAAATAGCTAATAAAATGCTTACCTACATAACGTGTCTCTATTAGGCTCCGCTCCTATCCGATATTATCCGAAACTCTTATTTAGGATTCGGTGAGGTTTCGGAGCTCCCTAATATCCCTGCAAAAAATATTGTCAGGGACGTATTCATACATACAAAAACTATGTAAAAGTTGTTATAAATTGTAATGCATTTATTCAAATATGATGCCCTACATAACCTAATGCACACCATTTTTTATATTATATACTATTACAGTCTATTACTGATTCAATTTTTATTGTATTTCAATAAAATATACCTACATATTACATAGTACAAGCAAGCGCTGAGACCAATATACAACAATTTTTAACGGGAATTCGATGCCATATCTAACTCAAGGTAGTAAGTGATAAATGATATTAAACCAGTTCAGGCAATGTGATCGACTAACATAATCAAAAAAATCTGTCCAACTGATAACTTCCTTTTGGCAACCGGTTGAAAAACGGAAATCACATATTCTAATATAGTTTTGACGCGACACGAAAAGAATCAATTAGCATACTGACTTTTGCAGTTCATAACGCAACGCCCACCCAGTGTTAGCGTTAGCCTTGTCTGCAGACTCTGGTAATAAATGATAATTAACTTTTATATTTATTTGTTTTTCCATTGTGTTTAATTTCTATTTGGATTATAATATTAACTACTTCAGCCCCTATTTGATACCGCAAAAGTTTGAATTGTTTAATGTAGACAGGATTGAAATGTTGTCTTACCTGCATTGGTTTACGCTACATCCGTGGGGGTATTAAACTAAGCATGAAATCAGGTCGGGTAGTTTATCGCTGCGAAATCACATATAATTAACGAGTATGGTTTCCATGGGGGCCACGTGGAGATCGACCCATTGCAAGAAATGTACCATGCATTGTCAGTAGTGGGTCCACACCTTCTATTTTTTTTTTAAATGAAAAGATAGTCTATGTTCGTCCTCGTAAACCTTATTTTTTCTTATCAAATTTTATTAAGATCTGTTCAGCCGTTAACAAACAGATGGACAGATATACTTTCGTATAGGATGAAGTGTATTTTGAATAAGTACAAAAGTTTCCATAAAAACATCAACTGAATAATTAAGGTTTTGTTAGGATTGTGTCTAAGCTATTTTGGAATATGACGATTGAAAAAATCACGTCAAAAAGTGCAACTGCAAACTATAAATGAAAAAAATATAACAATAATACCTAAGATTCAATTAAGTGAGTCTGTGTCAATGTTTCGTCTTGCCATTAATCTAATTTCTAATGCCCTTGAATACAATTTGCCTCGCATATATTGAATAATTGTATGATTGGTTTCGAATGTTACGATGATTTTCATAAGTTTATATTTAGCTCTCTAGTAGCGCTTCAATAATAGATTTATTGCCGAATGCCAGCTGTTTGGAATTCAGTAAACGTTTGATATATTATTGCAACCAACGATCAGAATTAGACGTGTTTTAAATGGGTTAATACATTGTATTAATTAATATTCATAACCAATATATTATTATATATTTAGACACTATATAATAATATATTGATTATGAATATTTCAATAATTATCTATTGTATGTAATAAATATGGCATATTTATTTTATTTTAAATAAACAATAGACAAAATTTTTAGAAACTCGTTTATATATGTACATTGTACATCTTATAGAAATTAGCCCTAAATTATTCGTTCATAAACGAACTCTTATTTGTTCTCGATAATAAATGAGAATGTATTCCATTTTTAGTCTTTATTTATTTTAATCGATTTTGGTTACTTCTTCGTTTTTTCATGACTGTTATCTCAGATGGTTAATCATTTTGAATTGTTAATGTCATTATATGATGAACGCAACACGGTCTTGTCTGCATATCGCTGGTTCTATTTGAATCCAACGTGTCATGATATGAGTCTACGCAGTCTCTCGAATTAGGTTTTGGTTACTAACTGGTTTTGTTACTGATATAAATCAGTATTTCTTTCACCGGAGAGTCGGTCAGATATGCATGACCTTTTGGACGTAAATCGGGCTAGTAAACTACTAAGTAAAGACGCTCTCTGTACATATATTTTATTATTTAGACTAGTTACTAGAAGTACCTTTTGTTAAAAACAAAATATTTTTAAGTCGATAGTATTTTTGTGTGCTTCGCAAAAATGCGATTAGGCTGTTCGTTTTCGAATCACAAATATTTACTGTGTTTTGTATGTGTTTCTTTTATAGAATATTTATTCGTGACTTATAATTAAGTTTGCCGCTGCATTGTTATTAAAAATTGTTTGCATAAATATACAAGTTAGGGCTTAAATGAATAATAATTAAATTAATAGAATTATAATTTTATCATTATTGCCACATGCCCATGATTTCTGGCTCTTTTATTAATTTCTTTGTAGAATTTGCCTTTATAACGTAATGTTTTAGTTAATTGCTCATTGTATTAGTAGTGTCCATAAATAGCAATTAATATATTTTTTCCTTATCTATAAGTATTGGAATATAGTACCAACTGATTATCCTTATAATGGATATATGAGTATTAAATTATTAACAATGCATTAGTAACATTAAACTGAGTGATTAATTGATGTGTGTAAACTGTAATCAACTTTATCGTTCGTTGGGCGCAATTTAGTTAAATTCGATAAACAAGTTCAAATTAAATATCAAGATGTTTTGGAAGCATGTGCCGCCCACCTGTTAATTATTAGGTTTCTTATCATATGTTTAATATTACACATCGGGACATTTTTAATATAATTGGATTAACAAATAAGATATACCTGAACAGCCCCGACGGCCTCGGTAGTCTAGCGGTTTAACATACTGCCTTACCGGTGGTCGCGGATTCGATTTCTCGCACATTACAAACATTTGTATTCTTAAGTATGATTGCAACGGTCTGTATGTTTTCTATGTATATTATGTATTTATATCAGTCTAGTACCCATAATACCAGGTCTGCTTTTCTTGGGAGTAAATGGCAATGTGTGAATTGTCCTGAGATGTTCTTATTTGCAGACCTACGTTGCCATTCCTGAGGACTAAGACGTCATGACTCCATATCCTGTAGTAATCTCATTGTATGATCCTTGTTGGCTGAAGTAGGTGACCTAGAAACAATGGTATCTAAGTAATATACTTCACACAAAGTCTACCTTAGTAAAATATGAACATATGTTATTATAACGCAAAATACTTAAAATTATTAGTTACATATTACATTTTTTTATCCACTGTCAGGGCGACCGACTTTTGCGATGCATTTTTTATACAATTGTATTTTTTCTAAAAAGATATCTATTTAGATAACATTGACAACGAAACATCATAAATCGTGGAATTTTCACGGACCTGTATGTTTAGCACAATTATATAGCGTTAGGCAAGTAATAGCAGCAAAATGACATGTTTGTAAATCTTGTAAACTATTCGCAGGTCGAGTATGTGTTCCTAGTTGGCGTAGGCGGCGGTGTCCCGCACTATACGGACTATGCCCGCCATGTGAGACTTGGGGACGTTGTTGTCTCCACTCCAGCACCAGATTTACCGGACAAGTATGTTTCTATTTTAGATAATTAACGTCTATATCAATAATATTATTAATACAAAACTGTGTCTCGCCTGTCTGTCTATTACACGAAATGGATGAACGGATTTTAATGAAATTCAACAATTATAATATGGAAGGATTGAAATAGGCAATGAAGGTAGAATAGTTGTAGAATGAAGTGCAGACGAAGTCACGGGTAACAGCTAGTTACTTATAAATTGACAAAAATAAACTATTTTATAAATTAGTTTAAAAAATGTGATATATTGATATAAAAAATGCAATAAGGTTATATATTAATGAAATTTCATACTTATTTAACTTTACTTATAACATAGAACTGGCAAACAACCTGGAAACCCCCCACAAATATTAGACGCCTACGTAGCCAAGTCATACATAAATGCGACAACTGTAAATATGAAATAAGAAGTTATATTAGAAAATTGATTAATCGTGTGTAAAGTATACTAATATATGAGTGTCCACGTGTGATCTGAATGTTTCCCACATGTCTGATCTACCGCAGGTATACGTCAATTTACGTCATACATTGTCTATATGTCGTCAAACCGCATTTGAAATTAGTAATACATCGGGTTATGGGTCAATTGCGAGTAACAGTACAGGAATACGCATAATCCACTGAAACCATCCACGCTGATACTCATGATTAATCGTGGTATTCATTAATCTAATATGGCCACATATAGAGAAGTTATGTATGATATAATAGTTTTGTAAATTGATAAAATTATAAACAATAACTTACGATGTGAACGCACCCAAAATTACGAATATTTTGGGTGCGTTCACGAGTTTTACGTTAGTAGCATTTTATAGAATTAGTCTTTAGGAGCTATCGGACTGTATTTTAACGATTATATTTTAATGGTTCATCCGCCTGCGCTAACAGTAAATACTACCAAGACCTCAGTGGAGGATGATAAAATGAGCGTGAAGTCATGTCAGATTGCTCATCATGGCTAATTTACCAGAAATTAACCAGGATGGTTTCCAATGGATACCACTGTCCTAACACTGTGACTAACAATCCACTGTCCATTGGAGATTTCGTATTAATGTTTGAGGGATATGGCAGAGAATACATGATATGGAGGACAAGACCTCAGCCCTCTAGTATGAGACTATTCATTCATTCATTTATAATTTAAGAGCTACGCTCTTGTCGGTGGAGCTCTTGCTCTTGTATGAGACCGCATGTATAAAATGTATATATTGGTGATAACTGTCACCAATATATACATGTTACCATCTGGTGTGAACTTGTTTGCTATTTCAATTACTTAAAAAATACTCTAAATGAATAAAACTACAAATGTCTGATTTTCTTATTGTTGAATTCTATTAGCATCAATATCTTAAAACGCCCAATTCCCGCGTACGAATTCATACGTGTTTTCTATCTAATATTTCAGATATGTATACGTATTTTGTGAAAAGGCTGAACGCAACGACAAAGGAGGTTGGGATTACGAAGTAAAACCTTACAAACCACCGAATTTCCTACTACAAGACATTGCCCTTCGCATTGCAAGTTCGCAAGCGCCTTGGAATCTGTACGTCAACGAAGGTACGTAAACTACCTACGTCTCGTCACGTTCATAGTGTCAATTTTGTTTTTAAATTATTTATAACATAAAAACTGCAATTAAAGAGAAATATTTTTGTCAGGACTTTTTTTATGGATGTTAATGAAATGATCCACCCGCCTGCTCTAACGGTTTAAATTTGCGGGGCACCAGTCATCATCATCATTATCATTAGTCCTCTCCCAAGGCACGTCCCTGGGCACGATCTTCAGCCCTTATCATCCAGTTACTACCTACTGCAACCCTACGTATGTCGTCACTCCACCTAGCTGCGGGGCGTCCTACACTACGTTTGCCAATTCGCGGTCTCCACTCTAGAACACGTCTGCTCCAGCGAGCATCGGTTCTACGACAGATATGACCGGTGGAGGATGATAAAATGAGCATTAAGTCAGATCAGTTAGTGCATCTTGGCAAATGGCAATTTACCACGACTTCCAGGGGGAACCGCATGGAGGTCAACCTGACATAGCACATTTTTTGCAAAGGGCCCTTTTATACAATTACTAACAATCCTCCCTCGCCCTCAGGACAGTATTTAGTTGGTAGCCAATTGTATAATTAAACCAATTAATAACCTTGAGTACTATTATATATTTATTATTATATAATATTTTTAGTATATTTTAGCAAAATAAACTGAAATACGTCATTTTTATTTTTGTAGGATTGAATCGATTACAAAACGTGCCTGGACGTTGGGAAGCACCAGAGGGCGTAACAGATCGTTTATGCGTGGAGATTGGTGAGGGTGCATTCATTGAAGTGTCACATCCTGCACCCCAGGGTGATCAAATGTAAGTTTCTGTTTTCATAACACACAAAGTTTAATTTTTGTAACGTATTTTGAACTAGACGTAAAGTAGGTACTTTTTCATTAATATACCTTCTTAATACACTACTTTTTTTATTGCTGGTATGGTAATATATTTATTTATTGCTTTATTGAGTTTGTTAACAAATAATATACTGGTTTTGCAGCAAAGAATGAAAGCATGAGTATGATGAAGGTCACTTGGCCTATAGTGACAAATTCTCCAATTTACTACGAAGGTTTCCGGGTGGATAGTGTGAAGATCAATTTGATAGAGATAGGTTCTTACTAATGGGCCCATTAGTTCCTATGGTATCACCTCATCCTAATAAATGTGGTTAACAGCGATGCAGAGGGTGAGAGGCGTGGGGTGCGTGTGCATTGCGCTCCAGTGGCAGGTGGGCGCGCCGTGGCTAGTTCTGGCGAAGCGCGCTCCGCTTTCGCTACACACGTGCGCGCGCTCGCTTACGATTGCGAATTGGATGCAGTACTCGACAGCGTGCAAGGCAACTGCAAGGACTGCTTCATATCCATACGAGGTACTTTCTCTTTATTTTTTATTTATTTACTTATTTCAGGTTATTGTTGGCCCATATTATACCTCTTCTAGCTTCTAGATTAGTGTTTCCCAAACTTGATTTAAACTGTTTCACTACATTGGCGACCACTATTTTATATATGCAATAGTAATATAAATTATCTCTGTGGCGATGGTAATCTGCCGCGGTAGCGCCAGTATACCACCCTCTTCGGCCAGTAGCCCACCTTCATGAAGGTGGGCAGCATGTTGGTGCTTCATGAAGGGCCGCAGAGGCCTTGAACTTCGCTTTGTAACTGAGCTTGGATGTTAGTTTATGTAATTTGAATGACAAATTCACACTTCATATTGTATGATTAATGGCAACCGCAGCCTATGTAGCCTATGTACATCTGAACGGCACCTCAGTTCACATTCAGTAACCGTTCTAATAAGTTTCTGTGCATTAATTTCATTTCATATTTTGTCTTCATACTCTGTAATTTCGGTACTGCACCGCCCATTAATACATCACTATTTCCCTAATTTTACCATCATAAACAAACTCTTAAAATATGTATTTAATTTTCAGTTGACACAGTTTGAGACCTTATATATTTTGATCCTGATAGTATATCTAGTTGTCTCCCTAATGTGTATGGAGTACTTATAATAAACGATTAGAATATGAGGAGAAATTAAAATATTTATATTTTCAGGCATTTCTGACTACCGCGACGGCACGCGTGGTAAAGAGTGGCAGCCGCATGCGGCACTGGCAGCCGCGGCTGTTATGAAAAGCATCATCGCCGCTATGGACCCTCCTACTGATTGAGCATCCACACTATAAGACTGCATGATGAACAACCAAATCTATTCCAATCAGAGCTTTCAGAAATATAATATATTTACGTTAAATTAGGTAACTAACATGAAAATTTAGGATGTGTCACAAATTTGTTAAAAACTTAATTAGGAATATGATTCCTTAAAAATATTTACCGTAATTTTACTCGACTACCAATGGAGGACAATTATTTTCATGAGTACAAAAATATAATTATGGACAATAAACTATCTAGAACATATAAAAAACTTAAGGAAGTTATCAATTTGGATTTTGTGGTTATTTTTATTTGTAGTCATCCAAGTTAATTCCTTAAATATCAAAATTATACTTAAAAGCCAAGCTAAACTTAAGTATCAATTTCTATAACGTACATATTGCGGACCTCCTCCTGGTTGTCGGTAAAAAAATTATGCTATAATATTTATAAAATATCATAGCCATTTTTAAGAGGCCTTCATTCCACGATTTATGGAATTTAAAATTTTGGTTTTTCTTTAAACTACTGGTATCTTTTAAAACTAAATATTAGAATTGCAAAATTGCGTAAGCACTTACCAAGTCAAATAAGTAACATACTAACACATTTTGTGAATTTTCTTTATTATATTTTTGTATTAAGTACCACTATTAATGATAACATTGATGGCCTCTTAAGAATTTGAACAAAAAAAATACAGGAATCACAACTAATACAAACCTGTTATTTGATTAGTGATTGAAAAAACTTATCTAATTGTATATAAGTGATTAATTTACAGTACAGGTTTACTTGCCTTACATTTGGCTGTTACAGAAATATTAATATATAAATAAAGTTATTTCATTAAGAGTTATTTACACAAATTAGTGTAGGCAACGAAATTAATAATAATTTTAGTGAGATTTGTAACTGTTAATTATTATTGCTAAGCTTAAGCTTGCTCAGTTATTTTTCGGTTCTCTAATAATTTCATAGCCATTTGCCAAACTAAAATGTGCTCAAAACAGGTCTTCCCTGCTTTCAAGCCAAAATCATATTATAATATTCATAATATTTAATTATTGATTGTATATTTTATCTTATTTTAAATAAGTATCCAGTGTGATACTTGACTTGAATATATGTATCATCAATATTTCATTATTGAAAGATAATTTTTATTACTTTTGTCTTATTAATGACTCATCACACTCAATGAATTGTAATATTTAAATTTTACACGGATTATTATCACATTAATTAGCATTTAAAAGGCTATTCAAATTTTTCAGTGCATGTTAAGATGAATGATATTACATTTTAAAGTAGACACTGTGTCAAAAAAACAAAATTATATAAACGTTATTTTATATATTTGTTTGCTTGCACAGAAGTAAAATCTAACAAATCCATTGGATATACATATGTATAACACCATAGGGTTATTTCACAATTGCTTAATTAAAATTATTTATAGGCATAATTTAGGTATCCCTTAGCCACATATAATCCTATTTATGCGTAATTATATTGCTATATTGCTGAATTACCTTAGCACGTTGCTTAGAAAACTATTAATAAATAATTTATTAGTCTTCACTAATTCACTGCCATAAATGGCCTATTTATTATCATTAGATTTATAAATAGACAAAGTAAATAAACTGTTGTGAGTGACATATATTTAAAACCAAAGTTTAGACTTCCGGATGTTTTTTTGAACACCTAGTCTAGTCGTCAGAAATGTGAACATTTCGTTGAAGTTTTATATACAAATGATATTAGAAACACTAATGTTGTAATTCCACATAGTTTTATCACATATTTAAAACGACTTGTGATTTCGTTGACCAGATTCTAAATATTAAGATAATCATTGATTGTTATTATTTGTGTCAAGTATTTTATAATTTTACTTACAGTTATGTTTGATTAAAGACAATAAAGCATATTAACTTAATTTTACGTTTTGATCTGTATATTAGAATTAATCTAATTTGATTTTTGTTGTCTCGTCTTGTAACGCACACAATAAAGTTTTTAAAAAATATATGTTTTATATTATTTAGTTAATAAATGGTAATAAATCGTTAGGAACGTAATAAAAATAATACAACGATGTAAGTTTATACTTTCATTCATTAAACAGTTGTAGTTATAAATATTATGAGATACTGAATTATTGTCGGATAAAAGATATAAATAAAAAATTGTTGAAAAATAGACTATTTTTAATTGAGCATCATTACTGTTTATTCATTGTGCATAAACTAATTTTTATAATGTAGTATCAAGGTCTATAGTAGGAATACCCTGAATAATTTTCAGCAGTCCATTTTGTCCCATTTACTTCCATTCATATATATTGATATTTATTCTGAAATCGTAAAAGATGATTAAACAAACAAGCAAACATGACATGAAATGTCTGGGATTGTAACAATTTATAATCACACACATTTCCAAATAAACATAATATAATTAAGTACAGATTACACAAAAACCCAATAACTAATTAGGTATAATGTAAACAGTGTTCACTAAACTAATTAGAATATATCTATATTTAAATTGTTCACTAAAGTAATTTTTCAAAAGTATAACTATTTTAAAGTCGAGTGACAACTGTTTCCGTGACTCCAGTATTAGTAACAATCATTCCTTAGGACCCACATTATTGAAGAAAATTAATTTACAGGTTAAGAAGTCTTATCAGTACCCATATTATATTAATGTTTCAACTTATGTAGATTGGTAAATACTGTAGTCTTATTGTAAATTCAAACAAATACATTACCAATGCTTCAAGATAATAAGTTGTAATGATTAGACAGAGATAAATTTATAATTTTTGACAACCAGCTTTAAATATATAAAAATGTTATATTTTATACTGTATAATAACATTATGAAAACCAGTCCAACTTACATAACTTTTATTACAAGCGTGGGGAAACATCAGTTGTTATTTATTCACAATGGGAATTTATATTTTAGAATCTTTCCATCCCAAATATTATGTATAGCAATATTATTACCAATTAGTTCTAACTTAAAAAAAACAGACATTTCCCTTTAGGATGCATACATTCAGTTATACTACACCACATTCAATGTTAGTTATACCAAGTTGCATTAAATAATCAAGTTAATACACATTAGTGTAATGTGCAAACACAAAAGCAATGTGTCTATATTAAATTATGTTACTTGCATCAATCTTAGTAGCATAGCGTCGGTTGTTGCGCCACAATTGTTATTGTTGATCTTCTATAATTTCATAAAATTAATCTTATTAATGAAACAAAAAAACAGTACACATAACTGCGTAAAACAGTATTATATTATAAGCTTCATTCATTTCTGTTCCTAAACATTAAGTTTAAAAATCTGAGTAATCTCACATAATTATATTTATATAGTTTAGGCTTAATAACTTTTGTAAATTACTCACCAACATATTTAACTTCATCAAATGCTTTTCTGGCTTTCTTAAGTTCTTCATTCATTGTGAGCAGATCTTTAACACGGGCATATTTCCGTGGGTCTTTACGAACTAAAAATATAATATCTTCTACTTGTACTCTACCTGTTCTACCAACTTCCATGGCTCTATAAAAATTAAAATATAACACCTGATATATAATTGTTGTCATACTTATATATATATAAGATATGTTAAATGAGGTGATAGAGAGTTCCTATTGGTCAAAATTGCATAATCATTCATTCACAATTAAATGTAGTTGATTATGGATCTTATACTCCATATATCTATCACTCAGATTATTAACCAGCAGTTACAAAGATAACAATAGGTAAAAACATCAGATCAACCCTACTGAACTACTAAAATTTATAAACTGAAACTGTTTCTATTATACTCCATATTCTGCTGTGATTTGTTGCAATGTCTTTGTTTGCTGTTATTTTTGTAAGTGCTAGTCTAAGAAGAATACATGTAATTACAGGTGTTAAAAAAGTCAAGAGACAATTTTTTTTATCAAATAGTGACACAATGTAGGATTTTATATCATACAAGATATTGGCTAAGCACAGATATATGGAAGTTACAGACTGAGACACTGATGATGTAAAGGTTTCTTATAATATGACTTGCCTGTGTGTTGTTTCTGTAATAAATTCCATAACTAAATCTTCTAAAAAGTCAACACTTTCTGTATATGGATTCTGATCATCACCAAAGCCATACATCATACAACGGAGCTCTTTACTAAATAGACGTTTTCGTCCAGAAGGAGTTGCTCCAAGTTGTTGCTCTGATTCTTCTTCGTCAAACTAAAAAAATATAATGATACTTGTCATACACCTTTATTTTTATTTATTAGTATAACTAGATTATTAGGACTTACTTGATCAAAATTTTCAGGGGTTTCGGGTGTAGGAGTGGCCATATCGAAGTTCTGCTTTACTGAATAATAAATTTTATTTCATAAGTTTGTATTAAACAGAACTAAACAGAACTTTTAGTATTATTGATAGGGTGTTTATATTTTTATGTAAATATATTGGCTTAAGAGCAAATCAATAAGTTGTTGTTAATATGTAAGTATAATTTTATTTGCTTATAAATTATTATTTTCCTTTTAGTTTTCGTCGCAGTTTTTTTAAATATTTCATATCAAAATCATAGCCAATTCTAGCAATGGTAGATTTTGTAGACAAATGTACAGATCAAGAAAAATTGACACATCACAACATAAATGTGTTACAGATTCACAGCTCAAGATATAAGAGATAAAGTAAGATCTAGTGTTAGTTCTTGAACATAGAATCCTAAAATGAATATTGGAAGCGACGATCGCATGAAAAAATGTAAATTCGAAATTACATGGATGTCACTTTAATAATCTTTAAGTGTGTAGTGAAAAAGTAGTCTGTGCAAGACTCATAATTTGACAATCAATTATGACATATAAAAAGCAAAACAATAACATTATACATTGAATCCTACCGCTTTCAAATTTTTATTAATTAATGAATAATTTATCTATTTATGATTTATTGAGTTCCGACCGAATTTACTGAATAAATTTTACATTATAATCCGGTATTCGTGTAATTTTAAATTAAAATGAATCCTATGACGTAAGAATAAAATAAATTCATTACTTTTAAAAATATTCACACTATTCAATATAACATTTATTTTCTTTTTACAGCAACGTGAAAAATGTTTTAAAGTTAAGTGAACGTGAATTAGCTGCAAATTCTAAGAGTTCCTGGCATGATCAATATAAAGATAGTGCTTGGATATTTGTCGGAGGTTTGCCATATGATCTTACAGAAGGAGATATTATTTGTGTATTTTCACAGTAAGTTGACATTTTAATTTTTTATTTAATAAAAATGTTCAAATATAAGTTGTATATACAATATATAAATAGCTGTAAAATAATATTAAAATGTTTAATAGTATAGAAAAAGTAATTTGATATTTATCTGTATTATTACAACCTCAAAAATAATCTTACCATTACTGATGCAGCAACAAATGTATACATCATTTGTATTTCTACAAAACCTTTTTTGATAACCCGTTAGTTTTGCATAAAGTGTAATTAAAACTACAACTACATATATAATCATAATAGAGTCCTAAGGATCTCCTGAAATTGCAAAATTTCTATTCAACAACTTTAATTATGATCATTATGTGTTGTAGATATGGAGAAATAGTAAACATAAATTTAGTTCGAGACAAAGCTACTGGTAAATCAAGAGGATTTTCTTTTATATGCTATGAAGATCAACGTTCCACCATTTTAGCTGTTGATAATTTAAATGGAATTAAGGTATGCCAGTGAAGTACTGTTTGTTTTCTATACTTCTTCATCTAAAATATATAGATGTATTTCAAACATATAATAGAAATGCATATATTCTCATTTTAGAAATAAATAGCTTGAAAATTGTGTTCCATTTGGATCAACATTAGGATGACATTTTATACAAAATAAAAATTTGTTATATACTAGTAAATTGTGTTTATTGTTGATTGAGTTTTTCAGAAAAGATAATTCTCTAGTTGTTTTCAATTAGATTACATAAACTATTTAGTTAAATAGCAAGGCAGAGTTAGTTACTATAGTATAATGCTTAATGCTATAATATAATGATGTTTATCGATTTAGATTCTGGGGCGTACAATTCGTGTTGACCACTGTGAACAATACAGGGCTCCTAATGCTGATATGAGTAAAATTGACGAATTGACTGCTGCTATCAGAACAGAAGGTTGTGCCCCAAACATTCCTGCTGTAAAACCAGAAGTACTACCACTACCAATAATTAAAAAAGTAATCTTTTTTATTTACTTAGTGCAATTTGTAGAGAATTTTTTATAATTGTTAATATATTATTAATTATTTTTAAAATTGTATTGTTAAAAATATTGCTACTAAATTATTTGTTGTAGGAGAAAGAAAGCAAGGAAAGGAGAAAAAAAGACAAGAAAAGTAAAAAGAAGAAGAAAAAGAAAGGCAGAAGTTCTGATTCTTCTGATTAGGAATGTAATAACTATGGTACATATTAAAAATATTACATATTTTTCACATTTTATTTTATTTTCAACATAAACATTCACAAAATATACAAAATGATCAAATTAGACATAGTACTTAAATAGATAATATTATTGAGATCATAATTGAAAAGCTTAATACACTATCACAATATCAACACATTTGTAATGTAAAAATCAGGTACTAATGAAGACAAGGTATGTTTATTACAAATAGAGCAATATTTATGATGTATGCAATGTCATATAATTTGATTTTAAGTCAAAATCTTTTTTATGTTTTCAAATACTTTTATATCAGAATATGCAATTACTCCATCAGAATTACAGAACTGTTGTGTGTCTACATCTTCAGGATCATTATATGTGATTGGAGTATATGTACTGTAAGACACAATGTCACCACCCAATGCTTGTAGAATTGAATGTGGTGCACATGTGTCCCAGCGGAATGTTGTTCCTTTAGAAACAATATATATTCCTGCTTCTCCTAGAAAACAGAAAAAAAAAGTAATAATTATTTTTGTCGCTGTTAAAATGAAAATTTAAACAAATTAAACATTGCTGTCATGAGAATGATTTAAAAATGAATTGGTAAATTACTTAAAGTAAGGTATGGGTTGTTAAATAAAATTCATGACTAATTAATATAGTACCTACTGAATATTATTATCTTACCAAGAGCAACTTTAAGAAGTTTATGACCTGCACCAGGAACAGATTTCACCTCCAAATTGGCTTTCTTCATCTTGTTAACAATTTCTGGGTTTTCTGCACTACTCATGAGCACAATATTGCTTTCACTATCAGATTTCGATTCTGTTGTGCCCCATTCTTTTGTAGTGCCATAGCTTACACCCCATATTATGCGACCTTTTCCACTACAAAATATAAATATAGAACAAATTAGATGATATATGTATTTATTGTCATTTTCTATGTTACTGTCAAAAGATTCTCAAATAGTCTTTTTTTATGTAGACTTCAAGGAAATGTTATATATCATTAATTAATTTTGCAATCTTTTATAGTTTGGATTTGATACAAAATAATTTATTTTGATATTAAGTAATAATGACTTGTCTGAGTAAATAATAATTATTCAAGACAATTTTGTCCCTTTTAATTTAAACAGTTATTGTACCCACTTGTTATAGAATGGTTGGTTAATAACTCCCATTACAGGTTCTCCTGTTGACTTGATGTAAGCTCCAATCAATACAGTTACGCAAGGCAGACCACGACCCGTTTTTGCCTGTCCACGGACACCAGATATAAATTCTGCAGTTGCATCTATAATAACAATTGTACTATTTCCAATTACTTCCATATTTCTACTGTTCACTGGTACTAAGAAGTGGTTATTCTATGAGGGGGAATAGAATTGTTGGTGGATTAGTGGCATCGTTGTTAGCAATATTATGTCTAGTAGACTACCATACAGTCACCATCATTATACCATTGTGGCTATTATATTATAGACTTATGTTCATCCTATCATCTGGTGCCCCTCCAGTATATACTGATAGCACTACTAGGTGCTCCACAACATTCATTAAAAAAGATTCCTAAACTAGGCATAAATCTGTATTTTAGGTAACCATCAATATAAAAAAAAAAACATCCATTTAACAGATAATGTTATATGGATGACTTTGTGAGATACTCATGAATTGATATGATCATTATTTATATACATTATGTTTTCTATTATAAAGTAACTTTAAAACTGGTTACATATATTACCGATAGGATCAATCCAAACACCCAAATCATTAATATCAATTGATGGCAAATCTTCTGGTAAGTCGAGAGAAAGTTCTATAGAAGAATGAGCTGCTGCCGACATCCGTGTAGCTACATTTGGAGCCACTAGTAAGCTCAACATCTCGGCTGTTTTTTCCCAATTTTCCTGAAGTTTAATTGAGACTCCTCCGATTTCAGAGCATTCTTCACCTCTTGTATTTCTAGCTAGTTCTGGACTAAAGGTAGCTATTTCATTTTTAGCGGATTCCTGTGCCAAGACATCTGCTATGGTTTTAAAATCCTTGTCAAAGCGGGCGTTAGCTTCTCCTTCACCTTTTTCGGCCACTAAAAGAACTTCATCAGTTGCTCCCTCACAACAAGAACGAGCAATACGAGCCGCTTTTTCTGATGCGTTAATTAAAACTTTCAAAGTATCTATCATCATAAAAAAATATAAAATCTAAAATTAATTATTAAAAGCTTTAATAGTTCAGATTAAAGATGAAATAATCTGAGAAAAATAAAAAATAAATATAACTAAATTGACAATTTTTTTTTTATTAATGCTTTATTCATGACCATGGATACAAGTCCTTCAGTCGAATAGCGAAATAAATGTAACCAGCATTAATTCCTAATCGTGCTATTTTATAACTTTTTGTATCGCAATTTTTTTAATGGGAACTGTGTCCATATAGCCTTTGATATTTTATATAATTTTGACTTTGAAAGCTTTGCAAACGATCTATTAAAAGTTGCATTTTTTAATACGTTCTGGTCATGTATTATTTAAAGCGATAAAGCTAAAAGCATACCGAAGTTTAAAAATAATAAACTTTTAATTTAAAATTTTATTATTTTTAAACTTCTGAATTTCTGAGTCTTAAATAATCTTTATAATTTTGCCGAAAACGCAATATTTTGTAAACTGGTCACCCCAACTTACAACTAAAAAAAAAAAAAACAGGTTGCGGCACACCCACAGAGCAGCGCTGGCTGAAAGGGGATTTTCAGGGCCGTAAAAATTCTTATTAAAAAAAGATTATGACTGCGTTTTCGATCTTAAAATTTCTTATCATAATGTAATCTAATTTTAAAATCACATCCTTTAGTTAGAATTGTACTTTAGTTAAGTTAGAATTGCTCGAATTAACCTTTTTTGTGGGGGCAAAGGGGATTGTTAGTAATGTAAACTGATAATCCTATTGCTATTTATGTACCATATCAGGTTGACCTCCACGCGTTTTCCCTTGGAAACCATCGTGATAAATTCTTGGTGAATTCGTTAGGATGGGCTAACTGCCCTGAGGACTTATCTCTAAAAGGTATCTCTTCCAGTCAATCTAAAACAGCATGACACAGGATATTATTTATGTCTATGGACAAAATTTCATCCATTTTAATTAGTTGTTGTGGAAAACTTTCGTACGTTTGTATGAAGCGGAATATAATAGTAAGCCTAGTAAAAAAATGAAGATTATGAGGGCCCTGTTCCTCTTTTTTTATTTTTGGACTACTCTAATGCTGTTGGACGCAGCTGGCCTTTACAGCTTCACTGGACGTTAGGGGGTGAGTGCAAATGGCACTCCAAACCCGCGGAAAGACTTATGGAGTGGCTGAAGGCCAACTCCTGCCTGACGGATATGACTTTAGTCTGAGAGCACCACTAGGGGTTCGAACCTGGGCTCAGGCCGTCGTAATATCGTGCCCCGTTTAAATTGGACGGGGGATCTATCGGAGGGGGCCCTGTTCCTCACCCACTCTTGGAACTGCAACTTACATATACCATTATAGAAGTTTTCAACCGGAAGGAAATTGGTCACATTGATCTGTTGCCGGTTCGCGGGTCACTTAATGCATGTAACACGAGGTAAAAATAGGTAGGTACATATGGCAGACTTAACACCTTGTGGCAATATGAAATGAAATGAATCACAAAAATAGCAACCTTAAGACAAAAAAAACATTTATCTCAGGTAGATAAACGATAAACGATGGCGAGACGGTATTGAAGAGATTTTAATTTATGTCAATAAACAGATGTACCTACATACATATATGTCCTAAATTGTATAATACTTTATCAATTAAATTTCATGTCTTGAATATAAAAAAAAACCTATATGTCGTAATGTGAAATCTTTTCAATGTTTAGAGTACCTATTAAAGAGCGAGTAATCGAGCGAACAAGCGGATACATCTATAATATTAGTATGGATCAAAATAAATATTTATTGATGTTTTAAAGAAACAAATAGGTAGTCATTAGTCATAAAAAATATATTTGTTGTAATAGATAACTTAAGGTTTTGTGCAGACATGCGTCTTATGTACGCTTGTATTGTGTTATTTTTATTTATATAGTACTATTAGGTATACATATTACCTATTGTGTATTCTGTGCAATAAGTGTGTGCCGACCTCAGCTTCGATATACCTACTTATCGTGTAATAATGCACAAATTAGTGATTACGGCCTTCGTTTCGGTCATAATATGAGTCACGATAGGGTACATTATTTAATTGAATTCATTGAAAGTGTCTACCTCGATATCACCGTTGTTTAAAATAAAATTTTGGTAATTATCAACATTCGGATAGAAATAAATTTAACCCAAAATTATTTTTATAATCGGTCATGTCACGTATGTAGCTACCTAATCTATAACAAGTATCAATCGATTAAAAAAAAACTAATTACTTATGTTCGCTATAACTTCGACAAGTTTTAATCAACCATTGATTGGTCTTTTTCATTTTATCGATACATTCTATTGCTATTATCTTCAGCTGGCTAGCTTAATTTGATAAAAATTAGAGCCAGTGTATAAATATTAGTATGATAAAATTGTGTTCTATAGTGGTACATAGGTACCTACATACTTTCCTCTAAGATCCTGAGTTCGATTTTGGGACAGTGCATGTATGACAGATGTAAATATTATATTAAATATGTATTGGTTATATACTTTGGCGGAAACGAGGTGTGAAGCAACTGTCAGTACTTCTATTGCAATTATTGCAATTATCGTGCCGATTAAAGAGCTAACAAGCACGCAAAATGACAAATCATAATTGGCCATTGTTTTGTTTTACTTTGAAGCTTGTAAAGCCAGATGCAGTTTGGTATCTATTTTTCATTACACATTGAGCATATATTTGTTCATGTCCCAGTTTAGAAGTTATCTATAGTTAACAGTGCAATTGTGGTGATCTAGTTAACAAGCTAACAGCTACCAAGGACTTTATTATCAATAGGACCCTGTCAGATCACATTGTTGATATTTCCCTTGGAAACCATCGTGATAAATTCTTGGTGATTTTTCTACGATGGGCTAAGTAACTACCTTATTCGCATCTTCATTGTATACTGGTACCATGATAGAGCTTAGCGGGATCTCTATTTAACTAACCTAAAATACTGGAGCTGTCAAACAACAAAGCGCATCTACCTATCTTGCCACAGGATAACTACGCAATGCTAAGAAATTTAAAGCCCAATAACTCTACCCTTATAGGTACATTCTAATTTTATCAAAGCGATTTCTGTACCTGCCTGCAGAAATCGTTTAACCTAATAAAATAATATAAGTAACCTTGATCTAGTTATTCATCGTGCGTTGTATCATGGAGTGAATGACAGTTGACATTTGTAAATTTTTACTGTAATAGAAGAATAAAAAATAACAATACAGTACTCTACGATTTTAACCACCACTATCATTGAAATATCAGGTTGTGTAAAATCAAAAGTTTAAGAATGTGAAATTGCTATATATACGTACTTAATAAATCTATAATTATTATTTTTAGTCTTATTTCAAAATCTTATTGACTGCATTGACCTACGCCTGTCTTCTGATAGAACATTTCAAGCGTACTTACTTACTTACTAGAGATTTTAAATTAAGTATTCTCACTTTATAATGTCACAATAAAACAGTAGGTACAGGTATCCATTAGTAAAAGGTAAGCATGCATTACTCAACAAATAGATATTTATTATTATACTGAGCTCAATTTTGCGAGCACATATTTATTCGATTGATGTAATTTATTGATAAAAACTATTTGTCTGATTTATTATTTATTTTTTAGATGTTTTAACCGTACTTAAAATGAAACTAGGTACATATAATACGGGTATATGTATTTGTACTATACCTAATACTTAAAGTTTTGTATTACAACTAAATCTGGTTATTTTGATGACTCTTTCTGCAATCTATATAAATGTTGAGTGTAGGTGATAGAATGTGTGGACTGTATGTGTGATGTAAATCAAACAATGGATAGAAAATGGTAAATACTTATAATGAAGATAGGCACGTGTACAAACGGTTGTAGACAAAAAGTGACAATAAAAATATATGACAATTCTAAAAGAAAATACATTTAAAATTGATAGAAAAATAAATATATAAAAATGTGCAAAGAGTTTGCAACATTGAGTATTAAATTTAGTTAAATCTACTTATAAAGTAGGTTCTTACGAAGTACGTTAATCGTTCGATTATATTAGACTACTTAAACAATGTTGAATTTCCAAATAATAATTAATTTTAACGAATTACGTTACGTTTAATCGCATAGCTAAAGTTTCTTTATAGAGTATAAAATTATATGCCTGTGTATCTAATTCAGTGACATCCTATCAAATTAACTTATGTAGATGTAGAACTGCCTCCGCGATATAGGTACCAAAATTAGGGGTAATATCTGTGCATCAGCATCTACCTATATAATTCGATTCATCAAAGTAAAAACCGTAAAAATGATAAACACATACATATATAAAAACTAACTTTAAGACACAAGTTTGAATTGTTGAATTTATCTCCGATCCGAACATTACCAAATAATAAAAACAATAGAATAAACTCTGAATAAACAAATATAATAAAATAAAATAATTAATAAAAATTGTATAATAAATCTATTTTTGTGGAGGACTGCTCTTAACTGTTAGGGGTATGAAAAATTGGTTTGAGCCGATATAGCCATGATTAACAAAAGGAATTAAAAGTGTATTAAATAAAAAATATAGGTTCGGTGTTGATTTTCATTATTATGTTCTTTCAAATCATAGAATACAAGTTAGATACCAATGGCATTCGTCAATAATTATAGCATTTAACATTAGTTAGAATAATTGGTGAGAATAGAGCTGTGAACAAAGTGATGTAACGCATTATGTACTTATCTACTATTCAGGTTTTTAATGGTATAAGCTGGTGGGGTACTACATAAATGGATAGGATGCACATAAATTTGGCTCAGTAAGGCCATGGCATTGTATCATGGCCATGACCATGTACCATGTAAGATCGTGGTCCCCATGAAGCTACTTACCTGTGATTGATGACTTTATGTTTGAACTTTCATCTTCATTATAGTTCTATAAAAAATAGTCGAATGCACACATAATAGATATATCAACTTATATATATTACCCTTTTTTTATTCTACAGTGTTACATTTCTAGCTGATGCTGACTAACTAAGAAAAACTATATTACTGGTTATTATGTTACTGGTGTATTTTGATTAAAATTTAGTTTTAATAGTTAAAAGTAGCATTTTTAATTACATTATTCCTATCGCCTAAGTTGGTACTAACTCAGATATGGTGAGATGATCTATAATAATAACAATTAACGAATATTTAAATGATTGTTTAATATTGTTACGACTAACAGCAAAAATATATGTGTATATATACAATTGGATTAGGCGGGTAATAAAGTTTTAAACTTAGGCTAGGTTCGATAATTTAGTCCGTTTATTTTACTCAGTCATAAAGATATAATTTGTTTTATAATTTGCTATTTAAAAATGAATAATTCTACTACTTGTAGGTACCTGTAGATAACTAATGACAGATCAATTATTTTGTTGGGTTTGTTACCATAGAGTTCTATTAAAATAAATAAAACGCACATTTTTTTATATCAGATAAATTCGACGTGACGACTTCTGAGGTTTGTAACTTAGGGTGTAAACTAGTAGGTCACGGCCTAAATAAATAGGTAGGGAAGTGTGTTCACCTTTGCATAATCATAAGAACTAAAAATTTAAGCTGCTTGCACAATCACATGTACTCAAAATTTGTGCTCGCACTTTCACCATGCAAGATAAAAGTAATTCATTAATATCACTTTGCATTGTCCGTCACATTGATATAGGTAAGTACTACAAATGGCATTTTTGGTTCAAGGTCAACTTCAATGTTTTTTTTGTTGAACAGTGTCAAGCATGTTACGTGTAGAGCTACAATTTAATTACCTAGAATGTCTTACTATGTCAGTGTCACTAAATAAGAAGTATCTATCTAGCGTGTTTAGAAACAATTGTTCTCAAATCTTATTAGTACTTGTCTGATTTATTGGTATTTCAGTATGTAACACCTAATGGTAATTTCAGGGCTTCACTCATGTTCCACATTTATGTTGTAGGTAGGTAATACTAGAAAATATATATTTAAAATATTTTTTCTTGAAGTGGTCAAATTTATCAGTTCTACCTTATGACATTCTACCTTTTAATTTCCCTCATCATTTCAATATAGGTACCTACCATTTCGGTAGGTACTAGTTATAAATAGCTATTATCAAAACACAAGCTATTTATAACTAGTAATAACCTAACATTGTAATTCTCAACCTACTAATTAATGTTGTCCTCTGAATAATGAAAACCCTAATAATATTTGTTTGCTATTCCTCAGGTATTATGCTATCTGTATTTACAATATGTCCTAATCCTCATTAAATTGTCAAATTTTACTGAGCACATTGAAGACAGGCACAACTATAAAATCCCACTGTGTCTATAAAACCATGACTTTGGCGAAATCACCGATCAAAATTAAAATGAATAATTGCGAAAAAATAAGGACCCCAAATATTGTTAGCATCGTTCATTTTAATATAAATTTAAAATCAATCTAGATGAAACCTTAAACAAGTTGACAAACATTTAAATAATATCCTCATATGCATTAAAAACTCGATTAGCCTAATTTTAATAGTTCATTTAATAATGAACATAGGTACATTGTTTGCTCTAGTAATAGGGAAAATCCATGAGATCACATGATAAATGACATCTTTAGCTTAAAATAAAGTATACGGCGAATCTTTTGTTTATGGCCAACGTAAGATTTTTGTAAACAACTTCCTTTATGGTGTGATGATATACTTTTGTGATTCGAACTTAGAAGGTGAGTTTATAACAGTAAAATTACTGTGGGGACTCCTCCAGCAATTACGCGACATACTGATTAAATATAACAAAACTTATTAAATATGTCAAGAAATCTACGAATATACCTAGATAACTTTAAGAAACAATTATGTTTTACTTTTAGAGTTTCGTATGGAATGTCCAAATTTTAATAATATCTAATCGTTGGCATCTCAAAATTTTGAATAAGAGAGTACTATATTTGTGAATTTGTGTATGTGTATCTCAATCTCTAGAATCAATGCAGTTTAAAAAATTAATTCACTATTTGAAATATTTACTCAGGTAGGTATAATCTATTTCCAGATAGGGTCAATGTTTTGGTGACAGTTGCTATTATGCTAAGGCATTGCATAATTCGATATGCCAACATTTAGCCGAATCATTGTAATAGACACGGAGAAAAAAAACTAAATATAGATATTGACAGTTTTTTACATTTTAACAATTTTAATGTTTAATCACTTCAGTTTTCCAGTAAAGTTTTACTTCTCACAATGTTCAATTCATATTTATGACAAAATCGCGTGGATGGTATTTAGTCTAGAAGTCTGCGGCAAAGATGACTACATATGTACTATGTCTTACATACAGAATCTCTTTCTAGTTTTCAGGCCAAGAAATAACTATTATGCAACTGTGTTTGGTTAGTTACAAGTAGAATTTCGATTATCATAAAAGTACCTATACTTAATGAATGAGTCTGTACAACTGCATATTATGCAATTACTTTTTTGTGGCTTATCTGAATTTTGCAATATACAATATCATTACTTGGATATGCGTATGGCCTACATTGTATTATTATAACAGATATTAACAGTATACCTGGTCATTAATTATATGTATATGCATATTAAAACAGATTTCAGTAGGTACTTATAAACAAATACATTCAAATATTATTTTAATGTGCGACAGTAATTAAATTCGAATAAAATTGCGACATATAATCAGATTTGTATTCTTTTGTCGTAATGACATATTAACAGAAAAAAGGATGCTAAATTGAAACCAAACCAGAATGCTGTTCATGTGTATAAGTGATGGTTACCACTTACCATCAGGTAGGCTTTCAGTGTGTTTGTCATGCCAATTACATTAGAAAATACAAGTTCAAGTAGTGAAAAAAAAAATTAAGTGCAAAGAAACATTTCCTTCTTTTGACCACAAGAAAGCGGAAATAATCAGACTCATAGGTAATAAATAAAGCGGAATTCTGTGGCAGGTTGCCGGATACAGAAGGAAATAACTTTAAACGTAGGTTTCTTACTGTTAGTGGGAAGTTCTGAACTTAGATGTATGTGAATATGTAAAGAAATAATTCATAATAATGATAGAATAGAGTCACTGCTACGCTGAATGTAGTACTTAAATTTATATCTAAATAGGTGCAACGTCTATAAATGATAAAAATATATCTTATTTGAATTTGAATATTTAATTTTGCATAATCCACGAGATAATTCTAGATGTTTTTTAAGTAAAAAGAATAAAAAGTAAGACTTCACAAATATCAGTATTCAAATTATATTATGGAATTATGTTGCTTACTCAAGTTAAAATCAGATTTTAAAAATCTGATTATCGGGTTTTGTGTTTTATATTTTTATAATATATCTACACTGTATGACTAATAGTCACACTACAAATCTGGCGTAAGATACAGTTCCGTTTAGATATTATTAAAATAGTGGGGTTCATAAAAATAATTATACATAGAAGATCAACATATTTACACTTTTTAATGATAAATAGGATGGTGCACCCGCAGGTGCTAATGATAAACGGTGGAGGATGACAGGATGGGGATAAAGTCAGTAGTAGTCAGTTATAGTTAGCATATCATAGTAAAACCACCAGAAACTACCACTGTTATGTATTGGAAGACCTACCTGATATGGTACATTGATAGTAATGGAGACTTTAGTTCCATGATTAAAAATCCCCTTCACCCTAACCCTAATGGATTTTTAGATTTTTCACCATACATAATTTCAGTGTTCATTTTTTAACAGTTAAAACTTAAATATAGGTTATGATAAGTAATATTAGTTTTAATTGGTATCTGGCTATAAATTCTGTTCTGTATGATTGCGCATTGAAATTATTATTAATAACATTCGGCCTTTTTGCTACTCGAATAGAGTCGAATTAAAAGAGCGTTTTACTGTGTGTGTTTATTTCAAGTATTTACTTAATAATCGTCGTGTCCGTTCTGAATATCCATTGCAATGAATATAATTAAAATTGCATAATTGATCACAATTAAGGTATTAGATAAATATGAAAATAACTTAATTGATGTTTTAATATTTACTGATGTTAATAATTGACTCAATAGAATTCTCCCGAATTTTATACTGGAGCTACTCGTATATCACCTTACTCAATTCTATAAAACTGAGAAGAAGTCGTTCGTTCCAAATTATAATTTTGATCTGGTGATTTCCAACTTCAATGTGTAGGCTTCAAAAGAGCCTGGGCTCAAATACACTCAATGAAATGAATCAAATGTTGCGTTTATTTCGTCACGTAGAAATTTGTAAACTTTTTCGACAACTCAATCTGGGTAAACCCAGTAAATGGTGGTGGTAAATGTATTTTACTTATTTTCATATATAATATTTGGTAAAGTATGTATAGTGAATTATGCTTTCTAATAGAGCATGGACATTAGCGGGAATATACCAGTAAAACATTAGTAATGGCCTGAGGTAATATATTAAAACTAAGTAGTATATAAGTTATAAGAATTTCAAGAATAGCAATAATGAAATGAACTAGAACTACGAATATTCTCCTGTAAATTACAGCGTAACAAAGAGATCTTAGACATGTCGGCAAGTGGTTTCATACAACTACTGGCAACTAATTTACTTGGATTACTTAAGACTACTTTGTACGAGTGAGAGAAGAGAGATGGAGGAGGTCCCTTGGAGTCAAAGGACTTATCTACCGCATTATGACTAAAAGTATCAATAGATATATACTATTTTAATAATAATACACAGTATCCGCTTGCTCATGGTGAACTAAGGATTTATTATAAAGCGTATCTTTACATTTATAATGGTTATGAACTTCATGATCACATTAGTTTAATGTAGACTGAAGGATGGTTATAGGTTGTTAAACCTCATTGTTAGAGTTTTCACGTAGTTTGGAAGTTTCAGACCAACTACGGCGTTTCTAGTAAAAAAGTTATGCAAGAGATAGGTTATGAAGAGAATAGGTTTAAAGTTATTGTGAAATAACATTACAAGTAATATCGTCGTATTTATTAACACCTACCACATGCTAACTAGTAGTTGATATATATAATAAATATTTTTTCATAACTTTTGCAGATTTGCAATTTTTGTATTTGACCCATTCCAAAAACATTTTACATGTTTTGTCCTTTATAGACACTATATGGAATTGTAGAAATTATACGGATTTCGTTTTATTAAATTGGCTACGAAACCCTAAAACAGTACTGAAATATTAGGAAGCTGTTCATTCATGCCTTTTCAATAGCAGCCAGACCTCTATTGTGTTTGCTTCAGACATCACGTGTAGTTTTACAAAAAGTACCAGAGCTCAGTTTGTGTTGTTTGAACGTCGTAACTGACTGGTCCACTGGTCACTACAATTTTTTGACGTTTTGAATACCGATATGTTATGAAACTGAGAATAAGTATATGTAAATTTTTCACTGTCGCTCTGAATGTTATGTAAAACGAAGCGTTCTGTATTCAATGAGTTTTGTTGTAGTATTGTGTTAGTGTTACTGTTTGTGTGAATTTGGAATAACGGCAAAATGTTCAATATAAAACGTGGGTGAGTGTATTGTAATGTACATACATATTTTATTATTTTGTATCAGAATATTGTTATACATAAGAGTAAATAGGAAACTTTTCCTTTTACTTTTAGTTAGGTACTCTATACATAATATCATTATCATAAATATTATATACAACAGCATTTCTTAAAAAAATATAGTACAGTAAAATATAATTGTTTTTGCGTGCTTCAGTACCTCGGAAGTTATAAGACGACAAGCTACGATATGTGACGGCCTATATAATATAATGACTATTTATAACGTTATAATAAAGCCATTTTATTATTATAAATCCTATAACAATTACGAAACTGCACTTATATGAAATTCAATTCCTATTATACTTCCAAGAAGAAGTATTGTTTGAAATGTAGAGGCAGGTACATACTTTTAATCTATCGGTAGTTATATAAGTAAGTAAAGCGAGCTTTTTTAGTTCGAAAGAAATATATTATAGGTTTTTTTTAATTAGAAATAATTATTTTAAATTAATTTTAGTGTTAATTTTTATACACATTATCTTAATACTTTTTCTTCGTATCGATAAGGGCTTGTAAAATTTATATTACCTGAAACCGGTTTTAAATTGGCTTGTACTTTACGTTCAGTATACAGAAAACTTGTTTTTATGTCACTGGAATAGAAAACAAGCGATGATACACTTGATGGTAAGTACAATATACATGAACAGCACCACGAAAATTTCAGTATTTTGTGACTTTATCAGTACCTCTCATGGTTTGTCACTTAGTAATGACTTTGAAAAGCATTTGATAATTATTATTAGTCAATAGGTAATATAGTATTGACTTGGCAGCTATTCAGTAATATGTAATTGTGTTATATGTAGATGATCTCTACCACGCGCTATATATGAAATAATAATAATATAATTAGTCAATATTAAATATACTTTCTTAATAGACATAACATGTCTCCAATGAGACGGAGGGATTTTTTCCATAATAGATTATATATTTGTATATAACTGAATATAGTTAAAATTCAAATACAATTAGTAGCTTTCATCCGTGACATGAGATACCGGATCGAAGCGTAATTATTGCAGGAAATAAAAGTATTCATAGAAAGATATTAAAACTCCTATAAACTTTATTTGTTAAAATATTGGTTTAATAGCTGATATATTTAATATGATAATGAATAAGGGTGTACTTGCATGCGTAGTTATGCCAAACTGATAATATGACAGTTGATAGAGTTGTTTCCTCATGGTGCATACCGAGATGTAACAAACAATGCAATAACAATAAGAACAAATTATTTGTTATTAAGATATTCGTAATTAACATAATTTTGAAAAGTTTTGTCTGAAAATGTATTCTATATAATAGAATTATATAAAGAAGAAGTATATAAATACAAATTAATATAAGTTTACTAGAGATGACTTACTATATGTGCCATCGCCATTAAAATACTTAAAAGCGACAGTTAATAACATGATTGTTCTGCATGACTACTTCCTCAAAGAATAAATAAAATAAATAATAATAAACTTATTAAAAATAAAGGTAATAAAGGTATCTAATCCAAATTGTCAATTGGTTTCGTTTGATGCCGAAACATTTAACCACAATTGGACTGTAATGAATTCACGTGAATCATTCAAGGATAACTTTTTACAAATCTATAATTATTGATAATGTATACTTCACTCTGGTCAGTATATAGTAGTAATTTTGATTTTGTGCTCTAAACTCACATTTACTACCAAGCTGGAGCCGTTGACTTTAAATAGTAGGCCAGCATTTATGGAAAAAGTATATAGGATTACAAGAAAAAAAAGATATAATAAAGGTACAAGTAGTAAAAGCAGTGAAAAGTCCGTCCGACTTATTTTTTCGATTTATTTGAAATGTCTATGCCTTTCTTTAAAATACGCAAAATTGGAATGTTATAAATTAATAACCAATAATAAACAAAAAACCTATTTTTGTTAATTATAATAATTAGTACTGTATCCGTACATAAAAATGTTACTGTTATAGCAAACGTATTAACACAATAAAATTGATTTTGTGCTACTAAAACGCGAGATAAAAGAAAAGCTTTATATTTTTTAATATTAATGTCTATTATATAGTTTTTTTTTATTATTTCCAGATTGAAATTTTGGACTGTACTGCTTTTAATCAAGATGGTAATGGCATACCCATCAAGTTCTTCAAACGTTGTATTCATCATGGTTGATGATATGGTACGTTATATTAAACCGATAGTTGAAGGACATTCTGCTGCCGTTTAATGTACCAAATAATGATGTATATGAATGAATGATGAACATTTACTTCCGTCATAATTCTCCACAAGCTACGTTATCCACTGATTCTGTGTAACTTTTAGCTTACCGCAACATCCAATGTAGCGTTCTACATTTGTTCTATATTGTACTTATTTGAGTACCTTGTATGAGATTGCTATTAAAATACGCTAAGTTGTTTTAATTATAGATTACATTTATCATTACACAAACTACTAGCCGCAAGACCGTGACTAATATAACTCACCAAAAAATGCGAATTAAGAACATGAGGTGACACTTTTTTTTACACCTACCCATATTTTTTATACTTCTGGAATCACAACCTGTACGACTACAACCTACATACTAAAATAGTAACTTAGAGATGCTACGTATAACTTATAAAAAAATTTTAATATTAATTAAGTAAGGTAGGTATCTAAACCTTGCAATTAATGAAACTGTGATATATATTCTTATTAAATATGTTCAGCCATACAACTTTAACTTAGTACTGGTATTAGTTATTTCTTTTATGTATATCAAAAGATTATTAACCTAATTTATGTAGATAAATAAATGTGAAAGTAAGATATAACGGCTTCAGTGGCATTGAGATAGGTTTCGTCGTATATCATATACATATAATGTACCGGAAACGCTGGAGTAGTGACGCTATCATATAGCCGTGGTTAGTCCATGTAATATATAGGTACACTGTAACGTTTCTAATCATTTAATTTTTTGTTATAATTTTGGGAGCACATTTCCTTTAATATACATATATTCCCTCATATTTTCATGTCATGCATCTTACATAATTATTGACACTTGTAGTTCATTGTTTCATAATTACTTGATGAATTAATTTGATAATTTAAATATAATGCATACTGATATGAACTCAAAATTATAATTTTAATTATTTTACTATAACAAATAAGCTTTATAGCTTCTTTTTGGTATATTATTATGAAGATCTCTCACTTGCTATATTTATTCCATCTACATATTATAACTTTACTTTATTTACATAACTTAATTGTACGACTAAGAACCTAAAATTAAAAAGCTTAAAAAATCTAATATAATAACTAAAATATATTATTAAAAGGTGTCCCTTTAGGGAAAATATAATAAAAAAAATATTATAACTTACTACATTAGTTTATACATAAAAGTTACCTTTGGTTATTGATCCTGTAACGGACGTGGATACAATAGATTTCATGCCGGGCTTATGGTGGTATAATGTATTTTGTAATATGATATCTAGATCTAGGGTATATAATTGAAATATATTAAATTGATTAATCTATATTGATATAGATATTAGGCGGGTTCAAAACGCAGCAGGTACTTATAGAAAAATGGTGAATGATAAAATCGATAATGTTCAATTCTATTACTGGATACTTTGAAAAGGTTAGATAGAGGGTTATTATTATCATTACATAATTGGACATAAAAGGTCAGTACTATAAAACAATAGAGGCAGATAGATAGTTGAAAGATTGTCACGAGCTGGCAAATTGTTTGTATACAGCATTGCATTGCATAGGTACTTAGCAAAATTCAAAGAAGTAGGTTACACTAGTTACATTATTATTACCTATTATTATATTATATTACCCTGTAGGTATGTTTTTATAATTATTTCCTTTTTTTACCAAATTCTCCCAAAACATTAAATATCGAAAACCGAAAATATAAATAGGTACTATGTTTATAATTAAAAAAAAAAACTTTAGAGATGTTATTTTTGCAGGGATGGAACGATGTATCGTTTCACGGCTCGGACCAAATATTAACACCAAATATCGATACTCTGGCATATCATGGTGTTATACTGCAGCAGTACTATAGCGAAGCTATCTGCACTCCAGCTCGTACTGCTTTGCTCACCGGAAAATATCCAATGAGATTGGGTAAGTTCAAAAATGTTTGATTATTATAAACTTTTTGTACATTATAAAAGTGATTCATTTATTCAAATTATGTCCAGCAGTGAACGTCTTCCGGGCTGCGATGATGATGATGATGATTTATTCAAATATATTAGGCACTTTAAATACTTCATTCAATCATACTTAAATACATACCTATTATATTTGAAGGGAGGGTTTGGTGCACAGATGGACTAGATTCTGTATTAATACAGTATACCCTTGTTAATATCTCATGTAAAAAAGCTGCGGGTTGTATTCATCATTTCCATTACTTTTTTAATTATAATAAATTAATAAGTCTTTTATCTACTCAGATATTTTAGTTAAATATATACAAAAAAGGAATAATAATATGTATTCATACAATTAATATCACGGATGTCACATAATAATGTAATTTTAGTAGTGCTTTTTTTGTATATAGGCGAAGATTACCGCTAACCGTCAGGTTTTTTGCCTTTCCAATTACATAAAAATATCTACCTTATTTAAGGCATAATGACAATTAACATATAGACAAATGTCTCTTTCGGTACTACACAAAATCAACTTTACTATCAGACTCATATAATGCAGATAACATGCAGCATTTAGTAGGATGAATAATTATTTGTAATTAAAATTATAATGGGATTCGTTACTCGTTTATAATAATTTAATAAGTTTAAATATAAACTTATTACTGTGCTAGGTACCTAATTTAACTATTAGCTTACCTATTGAACTTCTTTAATCTTGACCTATTAATCAGCTTTTAGGCAGGATTTCATAATGTATTCTATTAATTTTTATTAGGTTATATTTTACAAAACTTTGGTGTCACAATATTTTTTTCAAGGTTCCTAACTTTCTCACTTTTGACCCAGATAAAATAATATATAATCTGTATAGCCCTTGAAATTGGATACCAACAGCACTCGCCTAGGGCGCAAAATAATATAATTTTTGACTTTCAAAAATGTTTATTATCTTCGAATACATTATTAACTTTGGAATTAAAAGATAAGTTGAAATGGAATCTACTTAAAACATACTTTACTGGTTGTTTGTTAGCCGCGATGTCGTCTGCTTGTTTTTTGTGATAAAAGGTAAATACCGCGTTTTCATTAAAATCTATTCAGGCGAGAAAAAACAAAAAATACAAACAGACTTTCGCATTTATAAAATTAGTATAGATGTATATTTATATCATATAAAATAAATTTATGACATAATATATTCAGATACTTAGTATATTGCCTGATTGTGGTTTTACGCTCTATGTAAATGCCAAAAACTCAACCGCATCTAACAATTTCTTTCTTAATAGGCTTAGGCATACGGTATTGAGCAATTTCGTGCCGTCTATTTTCTGAAATTTTAGATAAAATTGACAAAGATAGGAGTAGGATATTACGGAAATAAGATGATAACCTTAAAACAGTTGGTTTCTCTCTGACATATCTATGATTGTTTGTTGTTGAAGATATATTTATTGTTACAATAAAAATTGAACTAAGAATATTATTTATTTTTCTGTTGGTTCATAATATTAACAGAAGCGGATCTGCAATGAAAAATGTAACAAAAACGGGAAAATATTACTCAGACAAAATTGCGCTGGTTAACTAGTGCTGAATAAAAGTCTTTTATTGTTATTATTTTTATTTCTTCGTATATGAGCAACAAAACATCCGTCGATAAGTATGCTTCTATAAAATATTTCTAGGCTACCAAAAACGATTCAAAAATATTTTCATATAAGAACATAATGTTAATCCTTGTTCTTAAATTCCATCAAAAATGTCCTTTAAATATTTTTTGTTTCATTGCCAGATTTCAATTTATCATTTTATACAAGTAGTTCCACCTAACGACATTTAGTAGCCATTGCATATACTGTTATACGTCTAACTTGTAGAGCACTGGTGATATGATAGATGGCTCTGTCAGTATTACGTTTCGACCTGTAATTTATATTTGAACGCGTAGAACTCGAAATTACAACACGTTGTACCGCGAAATAGATATTTTTTTATATTATCAGATTTATTTCAATCTTCTTTATGCCAATGTGTACATTTATAATATCTCTGGTCTGACTGGCATTTGGTGAATGTTGTCATTAATAACTTACGGAACCAAAACTTTGTCGTCCACTGCTAGTATAGTCTTTATATTGTATTTCATGACCTACGTTTATTAGAATCTCGGAGTTTAGCTATATGTTAAGAACCGCAAAGAGATATTCTCCTTGCAGTCCTACAGAAAAACCTAAGGAACTGAGATAGAACTAAACACAGAATTGAAGAAAATCTTCCCTAGATAATTACGTAATTGAATTGATTGTGGTCTCTTGTATTTATCACCAGAAGCTAGGTTTGCTAGCAATGGAGTTAATTACTAGTAATACCCTCAACATTTGAACGGGGATCTTGGGTTATACTAATGTAACATACATTTCCCGACAAATATGGTTTCTCAAAACAATTGGGTTCTTAATCTCCATATTTTAATAGTCGTTATATTTAATAGAAAACTATGCTTTTATTTTATTGACACTTTATCATTAGGTATATGTGCTTATATGACGGTCTTGGTGGTCTAGTGGTTTAGCATGCCGCTTTACTTCCGAATATCATATGTTGGATTCCTTGCACGATTCTTGGGTATTATTGTAAATTATTATAAAAACATACTATGAGTTTAGTACCCATAACGGAAGCTTTGCTTAAATAGGGACTAGATGGCTCTCTGTGTATAATTAAAAAAAATATTATTCTTATATGAATATTCTATTAATTTTCAGGTATGCATGGAACTCCATTATTTAATTCCGAAGATAGGGGAATACCTCTAACGGAACGTCTTCTTCCTTCGTATTTGAAAGAGCTTGGTTATTCCACACATTTAGTAGGTAAATGGCATGTAGGGATGTCCAGAAAAGAGTATTATCCAACGTCAAGAGGATACGACAGTCACTACGGAATGAGAGGTGGTTTCATCGATTATTATACTTACAATAAAGTTGAAATGGTAAGAAAAAATAATTCTGATATCATTATTTGAAAAGTACCTAATAATAGCAATAGAAATACAAATAAGTAGATGATACTAAATCTTAGTATCTAAGAATTAAATTGAGAAGTAATATAATACTAAAAACCCTTCATGATTCCGACTAGACCAAATAACCTTTATATAAATATATTATATTTCGTTCCAGGATTCGTAACAGGATTTAATAAGGATAATAAAAAAGCTATTGTGTAATAAATTAATTTGTAAGAAAGTACTCAATATAAAGCTATTGATTATTAAAAGAACCATCGAAGTAGCATAGCATTTAATTGATATTCTAAAAGTCACAGTCGTGATGATCGATAAAATTTTATGAAAAGGAGTAACTACATGAATAGATATTTTTCTGTACACCATATTTACTTAAAGTACTAACTGCCTATTTACTTAGTTGCCGTTTTCAGCTTGTTTAAATATGTATTTTAAATGATATATACTGCAATTTATTATACTAACTGACGTTAAATGAATGAATATGTAGCAAATAAATATCTACTCATGCTCTCTGTATCTTACCATTTTTTGTAAGTATGATGGTAATGTTTTTTATGTGTTATCATTAATCATTAAACCAAACAAGTGACACATATATGAAAATCATTACGTCTTTACTCATACAGATCCATATCCTGTATTTTCACCCCTTTCTTACTCTGTCATTGATACACGAGTAGATGAGAAAGAGCACTACGCAGACGATTTTTACAATCTCAATTAAAAAAAATCCATGTTATGAGATATCGATTAGTTTGTTAATACTACTTCACCACTATACACTTACATTACAAGTACATTTATATTATAAAATAATAATATATAATTAAAATACTAATAAATAGGTTGAGTGTTGGATTCTAATATATTTTTAGGTGTGCTTTTTTATGTCGGAAATAATTAAATATATTTGTGACATGTGTTTTGATAAATACTGTGGGTAAAGTTTATATTTACGTTTGTATGTTTAAATTTTTTTCAGTGGCCCGATGGTCGCACTCTGTTTGGATTGGATCTTTACGACAACGACATCCCACAAGATGAGGAAGACCGATATATTGTCGATGCTTTAACTGATAGAGCAGTTAAAAGTAATTATATTTTTCACTTTATAATTTGCTATATAGTGGTTGATGGTTTTATTGTATTATTCTCGAAAAGCGACTTATAATATTTAGAACTTGGTATGAGGTTGACATGGTAATAAAACTTATAGTTGGCAAAAAGAATTATGAAAACAGCTTAGGATTGATGGAAGTGTAATATAAGTACAAAAGTATAATGAAACTATATGTGAACCGACGTCGCGCAGCAGTCCTGTAGAGTTTTGTGTATCCTACCAGGGCAAGTAGGATATAGTACGGTATCATAAATACCGATATACCATAAATACCTACATCTATTATACCTTTGCTATACTGAAATTATTGTATTTTGGTTTGAAGAGTGAATAGACACAGAAGTCTATAAAGTGAATATCAAATATTTAGTTAGGCCGAAATATTTACAAATGTCAATTCGTGTCAACTGTATCTATATACGTATTATAAACACCTCAGTTTTAAGTTTTAGGACATGAAATAGTCACTAAGAATGTAATAGTAACTGTGTTGTCCAACACCAATCAAAGAAAACATTAGATAATACTATTGACGTTCATATCTATGTATATTCAATGGAATGTTGTTCATATATTAATCTTCATAAATAAGGGCATTAGGAAATTCTCTGAAGTGAAATAATTGAATTACAATACAATTACTGATATGGCTTCTGAAACTGCGTTTTCATACACATTGATTTGGTGGAAACTAAAAGTGAAGTTGTGTAAGATAATTCACTAGAATAACAATAAGAAAGTCATGATTTGCTATCTATGGCGAGAACAAACCGAATTTGTATTCCGAAACGATGTGAGCAATTCAATATTCTCAAAGTTGTGCTCGAAGCGCTTTATTGAAATCGCAACTCTGATTGATTATTGTTTGGGAAAGTCTACGTATTATGTACGATTCTTTCCACAAAAAACAAACTAAAGTTATAAAACCAACTTGGAAGTGAACCCTATTAATTACAAAAATAATATTTGAAATAGAAATTAATTTTGCACACTTTTTTAAATTTCAATCAAGACATCGCTAACCTTGTGGATGTTACACGAAACAATATGTATCCATGCGTATTGAGAATCCAATTGGTAGTCGGTAGTAAAAGAAATATGTACGTAGGTAAGAGTATCTTAGTAGATGCTATAGTATTATATATATTATCTTTATAATAACTAAAAATAATAATAATTGCAGTAATTAAGGGACACAACAGTTCAGTACCTTTATTTCTTCATGTAACGCACAACGCGCCTCATGCTGGTAACACAGGCGGAAGTCTCCAACCACCGTTATATACCAAAGTGAAACACAGACATATAGCTAATTCTAATAGAAGACTTTATGCAGGTATGTCATAAAAAATATTTCGTATAATATATGTATATATCAAAGTGTATATACTCATCAGAAGATATTTTATTGCTAGTGATTAAAATATTTATACCCTTAATAATACACAATTTTATTCCAGAGGTTGTTACGCATATAGATCGCAGTGTTGGTCGTATAGTGCGTGCTCTCGCTGAAAAACATATCTTAGATGACACAATTATTATATTTGCATCTGATAATGGATCTCCTACAGTAGGAATCAATAACAACTGGGGAGTAAATTTACCTTTTAGAGGATTGAAGGAAACTCCTTGGGAAGGAGCTGTAAGAGTACCTGCTTTCGTGTGGCATTCTTCATTCAGACCTCGGGTCTGGGAAGGCTTGATGCATATTACCGATTGGTTACCTACTTTAATAGCAGCTGCTGGCGGTCGATTGACAACAGAAATAGATGGAATAAATCAGTGGGATTCAATTATACAAGATGGAGACTCTAAACGTACAGAAGTTCTTATAACTGTTGAAGATAGTGACACTAATACATATGCAGCTTATAGAGCAGGCGATTATAAAATAGTTGTGGGCAATGTTACCGGTTTAAGCAATGATTATTATGGTGCTGATCTGATGATTAATAAGGAGAAGACACCAGAATATTTTCCATCGCTGAGATCTTGTGAGATTGCTCGGATATTTGAGTATATGGGATTATACTTAGATATTGAAGAGGTTAAGGCTTTGCGTTATGCAGCAACAATTAAACAAGGAGAGCCAATACGAGACAGCAGGCCATGTCTTCCGACTCCCAGTAAGTGATGTCTATACCTTATAGCCAGGTGGCTAGGTCTCCTATAGTCTAAGCGGTGACAATTAAATATTATTAATATAACTATGAATAGTATTTCATATATAAATTTGGTATTCTTTGTATAGTAAAAACGCAAAGATCCTGGAAACTGCGATGACTTAACGTTGACTTAATGTCGTGATAGTCACGATTTTATTTACATGTAATATATATCATATTTGGATTAAAAATTTTAGAAAAATACACTTTGGGGGGATATAGTAGCTGGCGTTTTGTAAGTATGTATGTAGTAGCTGGCGTTTTATGTGTATGTAGTGCAGAATGTTCCACTGCAAATTGCCTCGGTATAGTGCTAGATTTACAAATTTAAATTTGTATTATATCGTCTCAGGTAAATCAGTGATCATATAACTACTGTTTATGCTTTCTACGGATTTGTAGCATCCACTTTTAGATATGGTCTTATTTTATGAGGAAATTTCATGATTGTTTTACAAACAACTTTTCATGTTTGTTCATTGGAAAAACTGTTACAATATGTCAGTAAAATTACATGCATGTCACACTCTATCACAGACATAATATTTCTGAAATTTATATTTACTTTATTTATTATATATTTTATAAAGATATAGTACGACAATATTAAATTTTGGACAATAAAAAAAATATATTCCGTGTACTATTTCAGCTCGCGGCTGCCTTTTCAATGTTCGTCAAGATCCTAGCGAGAGTCGTGATCTCTGGCAAAGAGCCAATACAATTGCTGTTCTTTTAACAAGCAGGCTTCGTGGTCTATGGGCAATGCAAAGAAGAAGAGGGCCATTGGATATACAGATACAGGCAGATCCAGCTAATTTTGAATATAGATGGACTGCGTGGCTTTCAGACTCTGCCAATAGATCGAATGTTTTATTAACTGATAGAAAAAGTAGTATTAGGAAAAATATCAATAGAAATAAAACAATAGCTAATTCTATTAACTGTGATGGTACGACAGGCATAAGAAATTTTCTATGTATTTTAAAAAGTGTATTCTAATATATATGTAGTTGTGGCATATTAATTGTTTATACATAGAGATTAATTTATTTAATTATGTTTAAGAATTAATTGTATCTATAGTGTTTAATTATCTAAATCACCTATGTATGATAGTCGTTTAAATATGTGGTTATTTACAGAACATTAACTGTCTTCACAATTATATCAGTCAGAAGATCTCATGTATGTACTAAAGTTAGTTATTTCACTTGTATTCACATGATTTACTGAAAATTTAGTACAATTCGCATAATATATTGTGTTATAGCTATCTCATATACAGAGGTACATGACCGAATACAATGATAATAAGATTATACACTTATCTCAGAAGCGAAGCGTGTTAATAAAATATGGTAGTAGTAAATATTACGTAGTATTTCTTATTGTTATATTTATCAAATATAACTTCTGTGTCATTATCCAAGCGTGACCGGGATAAACCATAAGACGCCTATGTTCTTCATCCCAAATATTACGTGTAGTTTTTCTGTTAAAGACCAAGATAGTATTCTTCTCGCTAATGGTAATCGCTAATGGCATTGCTCAATCTAGTGCTAACTCATATTTTTCGAAGTATAGTTAAATGCCAATCTAAATAATGATTTTTGAGTTAGGATGTGATGTAAATAATAAACGTACATACATTCTTATTAGAATAAAGTAAGAATTTAGTACCTTATCTTGTTATCTTAACTATAGACAGCGGATATCAAAAGGCAATACAAAAATCTCAATTTTCGAAATGAATAAACAAATGGGTATAATTTAGTTTGTAAAATATATTATTAAATTACATAACTACTGACTACTTTTGTTTTTAAATGTTAATTTTCAACTCGATTATTATCCCATGTAATGAAGTACAAACCGAATGAATTGGTATTTTTAATACCAAATTTGTATATCTACACTTAGCATTGTAATAAAGTACCCAATAAAATAAATTACAATTTATATTTGCCAATATTCCTGAATGTACCTAGTTTAATTTTATACTCCCCTAAAATTACTGTGTTTATGACTTAAACCTTGCACAAAATAAATATTGTAATTTTATGTTATTTTAACATTTACAAATTCGATGTAGAGAATGTCAGTAAAATAATTTCATGTTAACTGTACAAAACTTGAAAGGTCACTACGACATATTATAAAAATATATCCTCATATTCCATAATGTGTGTTTAAGTTTTCTAGTTAAGTTGTTCAGATATGTAATTGCGTCTAGTAATTATTACTTCTCTATGTCATAGTATTATCGGTTATTGCATCATCACCGATCAAAGTAGGGTTTTCTGTGGCCCGAATACGTATCATTATACTCGTATATACATTACAGATGTATTCAGAAAAATTGAGCAGTTTACAAGTTGCTATTATCCTTGTATAAAACAAGCACATGTGACATAGTTTATAGTATTTTGGTATCTAATATTACATATCAAAAGCACATACTATCATAACAATATTTGCCGATAATTTTTGCAATATTTTTGCAATATGTAGCCGCGCCGGTTGTATATACGACGCTTCTTTAGAATAAGCGTAACAATCAATTGGCATTAACACCGTGTAGAATGTAGAAGCCAATTTATTATTTATTTAGTTTTTGAATGTTAAATGTCGACAAAATTGTTATCAGAACAGTTGTTACTTTGTTTAAACATTCAATTCATTTACTTTAAATATTCGATAAGACTCCTTCCTTTCTCATAACTATCTTTTGTATAATGTATGTAGTACGAACATGGGAACAGTGATTATTACAGTGCCAAACTAAGTAGCGTATACACATATATATGTAAAATTGCTTTGAGTTTCTTTTAAAAATATTTTGTGCTAAGTATTTGTGAGTTAATAATAAGTTTAATATTATTATGCGATGTGTAAGAGACCGTTTTTTAATGTAATAATGGGAATGTTTTGCATTATGTGTATTATGGTGGTTTTAATCGTTTATTTGGATGCAAAAAAACTGGAACGACCTAACATAGTATTTATTATTGCTGATGATTTGGTAAGTTATTTTCGATATTACTTCTTTAGTTATTTTTTTATATCTAATTGTGTTAAGTAACTAAGTTATTAGCATAATTCAATCTTACAATTAATTTGTGATGTAATGTTAAGGAATGATTTAGGACTTATATATATTTATAAAAATTAAGTTACTGTGATGATACATTTGGTGAAGAAGTAAAGATAAAGTTATGTAAATATTTTTTTGTGTAAGGGAAAATTGAATGAAAATTGCGTATTGTTACAGGGTTGGAATGACGTCGGTTTCCATGGCTCGGATCAAATCCCTACGCCTAACATAGATCTCTTGGCACAATCGGGGATTGCTTTAGAACGGTATTACACGCACTGCATTTGCACCCCTTCGCGGTCCGCATTACTTACTGGGAAATATGCGCATACAACCGGTAGCTTTATTTTTTTAATAATATTACGTAATACTGGATAATTGGTTATATATATATATATATATATATATATATATACCTCTATAATTTAATTATGGGATAGATATAAAATCTTAGTGACCTTAGGATCTTACTTTCAAAATTATCCAAATCTACTAGTGATTGAATAATATCAAACCACGAGCAGATGAATGAATCAGTTTGAATTATATTCAGCACATAGATAAATTAAATAGGATACATTTTACTCTAAGTCATGCTATCAAAGCTGTAGAATAAAGCTAAATGTAACAACTAATTTTTTAAATAATTTGAAAGTATTATTTCATTTTATGATCTCATAACACTTTTCCACTAGGAATGCAGGGATATCCCTTAACAAATGGTGAAGACAGAGGTTTACCAACAACGGAGAAAATAATGCCTCAATATTTCAAAGATTTAGGCTACGCGACGCACTTAATAGGCAAATGGCACGTTGGTATATCCCGAACAGAATTCTTACCAACTGTTCGAGGGTTTGATAACCATTTTGGACATAGAGGTGGTTTTATAGACTACTATGAATATACTTTAGAGGAAGAGGTAAGCGATACAGATAGAATACTTAAAATAAAATAAAATGTATAGTAGTTATAGTAATTGCAGGTATAAGAATTTTGAATGTAGCAATGCAGTGAGAACGACAACCCGCATTTACCAGTTTTTTATGCATGCAAGTATGCATTATTTATGTCATTCAAAGGTGATACCTGTATGTAATTAGCTGTTCTACCTACAAGATAATTGTTATTTATAATGTGGGCTTGTCAATTAATTAGGCGAATATATTAGATTATTCACCTTATTTCTTGTCTGAGGCTTGGTATACCATTTGTACACAATAAACAAAGGGCACATTCTTTTCATGATGGGAGACCAACTATAATAAATAACGTTATACATAAGTATTATTTGACTTTTGGTTCTAATTTGTATTAAGATACACTCTGTTTATACAATATATATATATATATATATATGTACATAAACAGAGTGTATCTTATAATTTGTTACCTGTGACTCGGTCTGTAAACAAACATTCATCCTCTATTTCACTTCATTCATGATTACTTTTTGAGATGAAAGCTGGCTTGTGATACGATGTATGTTCATATCCAATTTAATTAAGAACAAATTAACTATTTAGTTGTGAAAAGATAATAAATAGTTACACTGATATAAGGAATCACATCTTGTAAATAATTTATTGTAATTTGAATACAAATTTGAACACAATACTTTTTCTATAGGCAAGTTACACAGAAAACGGTCCAAGTAAGGTATCTGGTATGTGCTTATACAGAAATTTAACACCAGCATGGGACGTGGAGGGATATATTACAGACGTTTACACTGATGCAGCCAAATCAAGTAAGAATTTGTAAGTCATATTTATACTAATTTATTAAAATTACGTTTTGTATTGTATAGACGTTCTGCCCCGTGACAAAATAAGAATATTATTTAATGCCGTGCTGTTTATTCATACGGAAAAAGTTATTGTCTGATAACAATTCTAAATATCCTATACCAAGTCATCTAGAATGCTAGAATGGTAATATTATTCTCTTATAAAAAGAACTGTGCATTTCAATATGATAATTAGGCACTGTTATGATATGGTATTATAGCCATAAAGCCTTATTATGTATGTAAAGCCTATATTGTTTACAGAGATATATAATTATGATATTAACATCGTATATTCTATTTTGAGTTATTTTAAATCTAAAGTAAGTAAAGAAGAGTAATGAACACATAACAACAAGTATATTTAAAGATTATTTTAAGACTTTGACATTAAATACTCGCATGTAACAAATAAAAAGTGTAGGTTGATTTTCATTTATATTAATCATACCTTATATTATACCATTGTTGCCAACCTTAAAACATTTGGCCTGGTAATATGAATAAAGAAACATAAATAAAATCTAGTATATTAGCTTATTTAGGCTCTCTAACTTCATGTACGAATTGTATTTTAGAGGTCAAAATGTCGTGCTAATTTTTATACCAATGGAAATATTTACGTACCGAAGATCAAAATACTAGTATTTGTATGACTATCCTAGTATGGTTGGTTAACCCTATAACTAGCTGTTATATTATAATTACTTTATCATCTAAATTCATCCCTTTAGAAAGAGACGATCCTCTCCTCATTCCTTGACAAAGCAAGTTACATTGTCATATCCTATTAATCGTAATAGTCTAGCAAGTAGATAAACAGCATTATTTTGACATTTTATTATAAATAAGAATATTAATTATACATAAGAATATTTGAAGTAAGGAACATAGAGTAAAGCTATTATAAATTGATTTGCAGTAATAGAGTCACATGAGGAAACGAAGCCTCTCTTTCTGATGGTGGCTCATAATGCTCCCCACTCCGGGAATGATGGGGCTTTGCTGCAAGCCCCACATGAGGATGTAAGGTCCATGCGTCACGTTGAATCTCCTGAACGAAGGATTTATGCAGGTTTTGATTTGTTACTATACTATAAATAACTAAACTATATTCTCCTAAGTTTGTTTATTAGCAATACAAGTCTTAAGTAGCAAGGGAATTTCGTTTACATAGGTTTCCGCCTAAACTAGCCTATTAGGATTCGTTGGGTACCTTATTATTTAATCATCTAATGGTATATATATACATATAGTATATAAATAATTACCGATTTAACTTAAATAGATATTCTAACATCATTTATTGTGTCGGTGAAATAATTTTTCTAAACACTTAAATGAATATTTGTACTCATCTATATAGTTACATACATACACTCTTTAATACGATTGATGATGAACTATATTGTAATATTTAGCAATGTTTAAACTGTTTTCAGCAATGGTAAAAAAACTTGATGAAAGTGTGGGAGATATATTAGAAGCTCTGTACGTCAAAGGAATACTTGAGAATACTATAATTGTATTTATAACTGACAATGGAGGTATGACATCAGGACCATCAGTAAATTACGCATCAAATTGGCCTTTGAGAGGTTTGAAAATGAGTCCTTTTGAAGGTGGAGTGAGAGGTGTAGGGTTATTATGGACATCAAGTTTACTTCCAAATCATTTATGGAATGGCTATATACACGTATCCGACTGGTTGCCGACGTTATTAAGGGCTGTTGGTGCAGAACCACCTCCAAACTTAGATGGATTAGATCTCTGGAAGGACATTGAATTAAATAAACCATCATCACGAAAAGAAATGTTTGAAATTGATGATTATGTTGGATACGCTTCTATTATATCTGGAGACTTCAAATTGGTTATTGGAAATGTTACCAAAGAATATAGCAATCATCAAGGATGGGATTTATTAGGAGTAATTGGAGCATCACCTTTATACGAAGATAATATTAGAAAAAGTAAAACATTTTCCGTTCTTGAGAAAATTGGTATGCCATTTGATCGTACTGAGAATATACTAAAAAACAATAACAAAGTAAACTGCAATGTAAATGAAAACAATGACAGTGATCTATGCTATCCTGAAAATGGTTAGTTTTACTTAGTTAAATCTTTTTATAGTTTAATGGTAGCAAATAATAGTTAAGTGTTATCTGTTAGAGATTTCGCTAGTATAAGTTTAATAAAAACCCAAATATAATACATACGCACGAACGATTATGTTTTTGTTGCTGAGATAAAACTGAAGGTAAAAAGTATTAACCTGATATTTGCATAAATATATAGAAACTTATAACTAGCCTTTAACAAATTCCATTAAAGTAATGTTAATGGGTTATTATTATAATATTTTATAGATCAGAGATAGTTTTCATCGCCGCAAATATATCTTGAATATCTACGATCAATTCGGAATGACAAAATATCCTTAAACAACTTCAATATGTTTTATTTTATAAATATTAACTGTCGACCTTCTAAAAATAATTTGGTTTATAATTAATATTTCCGTCTATCTACGAGTAAATATTATATGTCGTACTGGTAATTATACATAAATAACAACTATTACTTTAGATATCTCCATACAGATCAAAGTAAATTGTCTAAATTAAGAAATTTGCTATTTTGCAGATAAATTATGTTTGTTTAACATAAAAGAAGATCCGTGTGAAAGAAGAGATGTTTCTCAAGTTTATCCAGAATTAGTCATGAAATTAAAGAAGAATTTGGAAAACGAAATGGCCGGAATGAAACCTCGAACTCCAATACCAATGATTAGAGACCCCAGATCAGCACCAAGTTTGTTTAATTATACCTGGGCACCGTTTGCGGATGATCTTTGAAATTACCTTACTGTCTCCTACTCCTGTGTTTATGTACAATATTTTCCATTTATTTTACTAAACTTTGGACTGATTTTATTAAAATTATATAAAGTGACAGTTCAGTGATATGAACTCGGAAAAACTGTAAATCTGAAAATATAAAGCCCAGTCAATAATATATTGTAGTTTTTGTTAATAAACAAAAACTTATTAATAAATAATTTGTCGTATTTTTACACTGTACTATGTTTTAGGTATGAATATCGATTTTATCTTACCATCATCATCATTCCTGTAATCGAAAGACAGCAGTTACGCATTATAAAATTATAATTTTATAGCACTAGGAGTTTTTATATATGTCTAGGTTAAAAACTTTAAACAATAGTCTATATAGTCTCTAATATGTTTTTTTAAACTTCGATACATTATAATAATTTTAATAAAATTATTTTTATACTTTATTACAGAATATGCAAATAGAAATATTAACTTATTTAAAATTTATTAAATATATTAATTAACTATAAATATTTAATTAACTATATCTAACTTATTTATTTAATTTCTCCAAATTAATTTATGTTCTTATTATTTATAAAAATTAATGGTGGTATTAATAATTTCACCATTAAATTTTGTATTTAAAACATTAATAAGACCAATTTTAAGGGATCTTGTTTATTAAGGGGGTCTTCCTATGTGACGGCCTGTTTTTTAGGGATATTTTAGGATTTTTTTTCTACGTTTTTTATCATTTATTAACACATATTTGGACAGTATAAATATAAAATTTCAGCTAAAAATATTCAGTCAAACTAGAGTTACAGCGCTCTGAACACCCCCGCCTCGAAAAAAAGAGCTCCCACTTCCTCCACGATTCCGGCTGATCGGCTTATCTGAAAAAAAAAAAAAAACGGCGTTTTAATTTGTAGGCTTAAAAGCACGGAATGACCTATAATCAAATGAATATAAAAAAAATTGGATTTTTGATAGACATTTGAAATAAAAGTTGCAAATTAGGCGATTTTTTTTTTTGTTTTTTTGCTATAAAAAAATCGAAGTTTTGAAAATTTTCGATTGATAATAGTTCATTCCATGCGTTTACATATATTGAGTGTGCCCTGTAAATTTCAAGTAATTCGGTCCAGCCGTTTCTGAGATACAATGGAGGAAAGTTTGAAAAACACAGTTTTGAGAAAAACGCGTTTAAAGTTTCAAGTCCGTTAAAAACTATTAAAATATCAACTTACTCTCAATCGGCGATGCCTGGTCCATAGAGTATTCCTTCCTCTTCCTCGCGAAACTCTTTTAAAGCAGATTGTTCAGCTCTTGAGTCAATCCTGGCTTGTTTAACGACATCACTTACGCGCCGCTCAGAGCGTAAGATTCGCTTTTCATCCCGTTTCTCAACATACGCTTGGGCTTCACGACCAACAGGGCATCCCATAATCGACATAACTTTTAAAATACCTTGAAAACCTTCATTAAAGATAATAACTGCTAAGTAGCTAGCAATTTCAACAACTTTGGGACCAGAATGAAGATGTTTAGGAGCGAAAGTCCAAATCAAAGAATTCAAAGATTCGTTATTGTTTTGTGTCTCTGCTCCTAAACAACGAATTAATAATTCGTCTTTTGATAAATCTTCGAAAACCGGTTTGATAGCTTCTTGGACTTGCGGAATTAGAGGTGGTTTATCGTGATGAAATTGGTCCAGTTCATTATTAGCTTCAGCCTTACGCCATTTACACCAACTGTCTTCGCCTTCTGGACAAAATTGATGCTGAGGGTTTTCATCAGAAGAACATTTGTGATAGTACGTTGCCCAAACTTCCTTTCTCATATCTTCAAGCGAATCTGGATGGCGTCGAATTGCTAATCCGTAGAATTTTGTAATTTCTTGGATAACTTTATCAGTAAGTTTACCTGCTCCTTTTCTGTTTAAGTCTGTAGAAACGTGTCTAAACTTGTATAAACAAATATATTAATAAAAGGGAGGCCAGGTATAAAGCCGACGGTACACAATAGGCCCGGTCTCTAACTGCCAACTCACCGCTCCGAACCGCTCTTTCTTTTACCTGCTGTATCTTTAAAACGACTTCGAATTTTCTAAAATCGCTTTACTACCGTATTCTAGACATGTTAAGGGAGCAATTTATGAAAAAAAAAAAAACGATTTTTTCAACCCATCACATAGGAAGACCCCCTTAAAGAATTTACATTAACTTAATGCAAGAAGATACATATGAGTATTTCTGATATCTACCTGAACAGATCAAATAACAACATATATAAATACTCTGCGATAAAATGACGATTGATTTGTCACGGTCGAGGTCATTCTAGATCTTATTTTCCTGTATTGTCGTATTTCGTCCCGCATACTAATGATTAAGGATAAGCAACTAAAATAATATCTTTTTATTATTGGCATTTTATTGATAATTACCTGACAAAACATGTATTATAATAACTCTATGGAGTTATAGAGCAGAATATATAGTTTTTTTTATTTTGGAATAGGTATAAATGATATCAATGATGGTTGTCTTAAGACAATAGTTTGTTATAAGCAGATTACCTATTGGAATTGCTTAGTATGCAGTTTTTACTGAGAAACTAGAAATTCTGGAGCTACAAAATACCTACTTCAAATACTAACTTATATATCGATAACTCAATAATTAGGCAAATACTAGTTAGATACATTATTTACTTGATCAGGTTTATATGAAACCACACGAAAAACACCAACTTACAAATTCTTCTTTCGCATATTGATGTGACCATTGGGTTTACCAATGGTAATCTAAACATAAACAGACCATAAGTTAGCGACTTATGTGGCATAATCAATCGCCAAGTTCAGGTCTTCACTTCAGCAGGATGAGGAACACAAAGGGCTGGACATTAGATGGAACATGGTTTGGGATAGAGCACGGTAGTCGCTAAATTACAATTACCAAAATCAACTGATGTCGAAAAAATGCCGATATCACAACTCGCTACTTATTTTAGACATTTAGAACGTGTCTCAATGCTTTAAGATAGTAGTATCTATTTGTTCATGAAAACTAAATAATACTGTACCATCATAGTTCGTTAGACGACTGTATAATTTCTTTATCGATGCTAATAATAGTTCAACTTATCAAGTGCAATAGACATATGACATGGTTTGATTTCTATGTTGATGTTATCTAGTGTCATAATATACGATACGTAGGTATTCACCGTGCTTGACAGCAGTTGATAATTTAAATGTCATGACTGGCATCAAAATTTATTATGTACTAGTGGTACCCGCGACTTCGGTCGTGTCTACATTTGATGGCAATCAAACCACAAAATATGCTTTAATACAACAACATCTATTATTTTATTAGTATTTAATTAATAATAATTATACGTTTAATACATATTAAAAACGAATTACTAAACTACCGCTTTGAGAGGTATTTTTCAAAGATTAATTTAGCCTGCATTTCGTGTCTATTCGAGTATTAAATAACTAGTTAACAACTGTCGTATAAAATAAGAATCTATAATAAAAGTGCAAAATTTGATTCAGTTAATTTTAGGTTGATTCCATAATTACTTGCATGATTTTAGTAGCATCATAACAATTGTAACAAAAGGTTTGTGACGTAAACCTATTGATAAAATTATTGTTGTGCTAGCTTCGTGTTATGTTACTTTCAATGTAAATTAATCATTTTTGATTTGCTTCTGCTGCTGCTGCTGAGCCAAATGGCTCAGTGGCTTATACTGATGTCAATGTACATCACTATATGCGCAAATATATTTTCTCGGTTTATCTATAGTTCTGATAAGGTATATACCACTGTGACGTATAGTCGCAGTGATATCATAGAATTGATCATATCATATCAATTTCACAAAGGTTCACTAAGTTTTTGACAATTTCGTGAAATAGTAGCATTTAATGACAGCAAATAAACGTTTGTCTATTTGTTAATTTTGTTTGTCCATGTTATTAATGTAGGGTGCTCATTAAAAAGTAGGGTATTAAAAGTGGTAAGGAAAGCCAAAATATATATCTTACCTGAATTATAATATAATTATTATATTTTTCCGGTATTTCTTATCGCCCCTGACTGATAAGGCTCTATTTGCATCTCCAATCATAAATAATGAAAATATTTTACGAATCAACCTTATGAGCAATATGCTTATATCTGAAATAGCTTTGCTTTTAGCTGTTATCAATACTTGATATATCGATGCATGATCTGTTCTTATTCTTATCTTATAATAAAATAGGTATATATATAAAGAATATATTTTAGTAAATTAATGTACAGTAAATATTTTCTACACACAAGTCTTAACAGTAGAGAAAATGTAAAATAACCGGCCCAGAAAATTACTACAATTACTTGTTGTCTGACGACTTCGTAATGTTTATATACAGCCAAGGTTCTAAACGGTGTTCAACTTTCGCATAGCATCTGTAGGAATGTAAGGCCCTAGAGTCCCTCTTTGGTCCTTATTACATCGTTGTTGTTCTGGAGTACCTGTAGCAAACACAATTAGGCACAGGTTCGTTTGTCGACTGCTAATGAAAATTGAGGAAAACAATGTCATTCAATAGGTACCGGTCTTCTTAGAGTTTCCCTAATGTTTTTTAAGTGCTATTAGCCATTCTATATATTTAAAGAATACATTTTTTTTTCCTAAAATGCTTCAGAAATCAGTGTAGGTATGTTTTAACAAAAAATCAATTCGTGAGTGTTAATGTACCTTAAAGTATTCATATCTGGCTATGTAACGTTACAGTTAAGAATTTTAACTATTAATAAAGTCTACTTATATAACTCAATTAATTTCAAAATTAGGAAATCTGGTGAAGGTATCTAATTATACTTTTAATTCAAAATTCCTAAAATTGAACTTATCTAAATTATATACTAAAATTCCTAAAATTGACTGTAACTAACATTCACAGTTAACATTTTTTTTCTGCTGTTCTGTACACGATTACATTTATAAATAGATAGGTTTTAGATTTGATCAGGCAGTCCTAA